AATTTCTCTTCTGATGCAGCGAACTGAAACGTGCTGTGTACATATTTCACTGACTGCAGTCTATAAACTGCATTGCAAAGCTGCATGAAGATTTTGATGCATCCATGGAGCTCTGGGGCTGCCAGCAGGGCCTTTCTTGTCCCCTTAAGTAGCAGGGTGCCCAACATATGCGTTCTCCCTTGCTCAAATGAATGGGGGAAGAGAAAACCTTGTATGCTAGACTGGGGTAGGTATATGCTTTTTACAAAACATTTCTGTGCATATTTGAAATAAAGATACTATACCACTCAGCCAAATAAGGTAACCTTCATAAGATTAATTCAAAATAAAAAAGGAAAGAGACCCAAGTTGAAAAATGTTCAATTTTTAATTGACATTTTTGTTTATACAGACTGGTTTTTAAACTAGATAAAAATAGACATTTGTTTCACAGATTAGACAAGCAAAAATGTAGCTCAGCTGTTTCTGCACATGAATACTACATTGCTGTGATTTCCAAAATCTTGTACTGTATTCAAACAGTGTCAGACAGAAATTGACATCCCAAGAGGCAGTTTGTCTATCATCCTTCTGAGAACTTAGAAAGTTAAAGTGCATAGAAGAAAAAAGAGTGTTGCTGAAGGCTGCTGGCCATTTTACATAATGTGGATCTGCAGCAAGCCTCAATGTAAACTATTCTGCTACCAAAAACGGAAGACATCCATCCATGCACTGTATAAAGCCATTTAAGTCGCATGGCAAAGTCTATGCAGAAAATGCATTTCTTCTCAGTTTGCAAAACACCATTGTAAAATTATGTCCATTTTGAATTAGGGGATATTAAACACAGTTAGTTCTTGATACACAGAAACAGAGCAGTCAATTAGGTAGGCAGTACAAAGAGAACCGTCTGGGATACACTCGCATAAACAGTCAGTAACTTGTGGCAGCTCAACAGCAGCAAGGCTAAGGTTGCTAAGGGGGGGAAGCTCCTTCATCAAGCAGCCCCGCACAAGCCCTTCGAAGGGATGGGAGGCACAAATGCAGAAGCACCACTGAGCAGTCATCACGATGCAAGGATATGGTCAGCTCAGGCGCTCCGGAGGGCCTTCTGCACTGCCGGCAGGGGCACCTCTTCTTACGAAAAGCTACCCATAAACTAGCACCATGGGATGCCGTGCTTATGTGCTGATGGAGAGGAGTGCCCAGTTAATGCTCAATCCAGCTGCTTGAGGTAGAATGTGAGCGTTCTCTAGTTTCGTTCCACAGTGCAGAGTAATGCACTTCAGTCACCTTTATACAGCGGCTTGCAATTGTGGGGTGAGGGAAGGAATCCAGGTAAAGTCTTAAGCACACAAAGGGGATGAGCACACCTATCCTAAGTAAAGGATTCCTTTAGCAACCATTAGTGTTTTCCACAGGTGCACAACCCCAGATGAAACATTCCCACATGACTTCCAGTGCCCCGAAAAAGCTACAATACACAAAAATGGGAATGGTTTGGGGCACAATCCTATGCATGTTTAGACAGGAAAAATTTCGACAACACCCAGTATTCCCTAAGCCAACTGCGCTGGCTGGGGAATGCTGGATGCTGTAGGACTGTTTTCCTGTCTAAACCTGCATAGGCTTGTGCCCCTGATTATATCCAGTCCAGTCCACCTTAAGGGCTCCTTCCTATGTGGGTCAGCAGCTTATCGCCATGATTACCATTGCTTTAGATTACTGGTTCAATCTGGCACATACTTAAGTCCTTTTAGGTGCACCAGTTTCAACAGAACTTGCATAGGGTTAACTAGGCTGGAATGCGACTTTTGAGATTTGTTCAAACAGGACACAAGCTAACTCCGATGCAAAGTTACTGTTTAACTTGAGAAAGCTTTTCAAACTCATAAATACTTGAGGGAAAAAGTGATGATCATTTCTTTTAAAACTGGAACCAAATGCAGTTTAACACAGGGCTTGGCCAGGCTTAGAATACCCTGGCTACTCTAAGGCAAGCTCTATCAGCAGTGCTTAAAAAAGTCAGAGAAAGAAATGCTCACAAAAGATTGTGTGTTGAATAGCAATGGTGTTGGTGAACTGGGACAAAGGCCCAGTTGCATTTCCTACGTGTTTCTGTTCCAACTGCTACCCCCACAGTGACCTTAGACATGTCTTCAAGCAAGGTGGGCAACTAGTGTCACAACGTGTGTGTCAGAAGAAGAAATGGTTAAAAACTGAATCCATCAAAATCTGAATCTATCAAAATTCAGTTTCATTTGTGAGCAACAACAGAATTTAAAACAAAGGTAGTGTCATGGATTTGAAAAGATTAGTACTTTAACCCAAATTTACGTCTGGCAGGACAAGAGTGCCATTAGCGTTTTCACAAGATCAAAGTCACTTCTGAGATAAGCAACAATAGTCTCCATCAGGTATCACAATCTTCCCCAACCTGGTGACCTCCAGATGAAGCCAACCTTCCATCAGCTTAATTGTGGTTATGCCAACTGGGGATGATGGGAGTTTTAGCTCAATACATCTGGAGGGCACCAAGATGTGGAAGCCTGAAACACTGTCTGATGCAACTTCCAAGGTATCTCCAAGGGTTTCTTTCTTTTTAAAAATGGAAAGATATGTTGGGTTCCAGTGTTTTACAATGTAAATTGATACTGAACCAATCCAGCATGAGGCTGCCTCAGGCCCAGATTCCTGATCAAAAAACACCAGCTAGAAATTTGGTGATGGAATTGCCTCTACATTTCAGTGGAACATATTTTACAACGTGCCACCACATCCCGAAGTAGGCATATGCACCACCCAGGACCATACTTAGGCATCTGCCCCGGACCTTTCAGGACACACTGCAGCCTTTACAAGTTACCTCCAAATTCTGTTTAACCAAAGAAAGGCAAGTACTTCTCAAGGAACAGTATTCCTGGAGAAAAATGGGTATTTCTTTTGAAGAAAGCAGTTATTACTACTTCCAACCTGCCCAAAGCCATTTTTTCCAAGGATTTTAATACTATTGGTGGCCCACTCTTTAACACCTGTGTCTGTGACCCTCATAACAGCAAAAGTGAAGATTCACAAAACCAAGCTAACAACTATTATGGGGAATGGGGCAACAAAGAGATATACAGAAAAGGCATATTGAGAAGATAAAAGGAGCAGCCTGACTCAGTCATAACACACACCAAGTTAGCCAAGGATATGTTTTAAAATCTGTTTTTTGGAATGCATACTGTTGGAGAGCTGGGATGAAAGAAGAGAGTTTAAGGAATCACACTCAATGTAATTTCCTTCAACGGGCCTGCAAAACTTAACTTTAACTCTAATGTTCCTGACAGATGGGATTATGGGAAATATGGACACTTCTCTGCAATACAGAAGGGTTAAGTCACAAAAATGATATGTAAACACCGAACACATTATTTGTCCTTTTCTGACCATTTCTGAACATCAAAATTGCATGCTAAGCAGCATAAAAATACTTCTTTCATGCCCAGGACCAGATTAATATTTTAAATAATATCCAGATGTTCTTTTGGTCATGCAAGTCAAGAATCTTCTAATGCAGGCGGAGAAGGAAAGGGAGAGAGGAGAACCATACAATTATAGACTTCCTCTCATTATTCAATTCTCAAAGGAGATTTTGGAAGCCAGACAACATTTAGGTTGTGTTCTCCCAATACTGAGACGGATCTGGATAGTGGGGAGAGGAGTGTGAAGAATGCACATCCTAGCAACAGTTCCCCCTCAAGCAACATCTATCTTTGTACACAAACTGTTTTTACACTCTAGAGCGTTGAGAAATCTGCCTGTGGGTTCTGCGGGGACTGCAGGTCAGGGGGAAGCCTTGCCTTCAGAAAATTTCCAGTGTATACGTGGGCACATGGTACATGGACATGTCTCTATGCAACAGCAAGTGGATCTCTACTCTACCACAAAGAAGAATTAACAACCAGCCCAAGCATTCTTCTCTGCCCCTGCTCATTCCCTTGCCCAAAACGTGTACCACTTCAGGGTACTCTATGCTCACGATCTTTTGGATGGCAATCTTACAGAAGGTGGTCTGCCCACCTGACGGGTACCAGAGTAAATTGTGCTTTCTGAAGCTATTTGTGTGCCCTGCAGTGTTTGCCTAAGAAGCATTTGGTGTGGCACCTGTGAGAGTTTCTCCTTAGCAAGGAAGCCGTGTGACACAGGAAGACAGTCTCAGCGTCCCTGCCTGATACAGCCTTGAGTCAAGGTCAGAAGCCATCAGCCAGAATGCATTAATTAGTTGGGATGCTGCTTGGTTTGCCTGCCAGCATCTCCATTCAGCACTTTACCCAGATTTGGGCCGCAGAAGGAGCAGGCAGCAGGTCTGAATGCCCCCCTGTGTGGAAACAGCCTCCTGGCACACAGAGAACCACTAGGACAGGAAACTGGACCCAGCCCAACATTTCCCAGACTATTTCCCTACCTCATGGAGATTCCCCCACCTGTGGCCTAAAGCTTAAAGGCCAGGCGAAGGCATGTTGCCTTTAACTAAGAAGCACATATATTCCAACTGGTTATGCTCTTTTGGACTCACGCGGTGAAAATCCAGCCTATGGAACTTTATACTGTATGCTGCTCATGATTTTCAATTTGTTTCAGAGAACGTTTCCATTAACTGGCTGAGTCCCAGCAGGAATATTATATCTGCTCCTTAGTTAAACTAGAAAAACATTTGGGGGTTAGCCACTTACAAGCAGATCTCGCATCGAGAAGCCGCTGCTGCTACAACAGAGGGAATACTATTTCTTCTGAGACTGGTCAGCCAGAAAAAGAATCATCAAAACATTCCTCATTTTCTACAAAAAAGATTTTTTACACTATCATCACAATCTTAACTTTGTGCAAAAGTGCACATACATTTGGGGTATGTTCACAGAGTAAACCATAGAAACGCACTGGCCCTGATGGCTACCTGTTGCGTACAGACAGAGTCAGTATTAATTAATTGGCGATGAAGGTGGGTCTTCAGTAAGCAAGGTTCTTGTGACTCTTACCGTGTGCCCACAGGCCAGGAAGGAGACCCCGAGAGCAATTAAGCACTGCCAAGTCTGGAAGAAGGAAAAAGCTGCAATTAGTGCTGGGTTTATTGACGAAAGGCCAGTCACTGCATGCAAGATGTTTTTCATGGATGCAGTGAAGTACATTCTGTAGCTGGGAAAAGAATGACTGAGGCCTTGGTCTCTGTGTTCAGAGTGGACAATTTCACCCCACCAGGCACAGGCGAGATAGGTAAGGCAAACTCCCGAAAGCATCCTCATGCAGTGACATGTACTCGTCCTTGCTCTAAAGCTGAAATGGAAGAGCTTTAACAACTGTGCTCCACCAAGCGTGGCAATGGCAACGAGTCCTGACGGCTCTGTGCAGCCTCCCGTATCAGAGCCAGTATGCCCAGTTGCTGGGGAGCTTGGGTGGGAGGGGGAGGCTGCCATCAGCAGCCCCTGGATGTGGGATCTGCACAGGCAGCTTGCATGAACAGAAAGATGGACTCAGTGGACCCTTGTTCTGATCCAGCAGGGCTGTTCTGATGCTCCTACAACACGACCAGAGAGGCAGACCACCTTGGTAGTGTTACAGAGCTCAGAAGGCATGGAGTGGCAGCGAGAATGGCAAGACCCCTTTGTGGGATGCAGTGCAAACACACACTAGACAATGACAACCCCCCCACCCACCCCCGGATTGCTGCCAGGGCAGGCCAGGCCAGCCAGCATCACTGCTTCTTTCCCACAGGAGTGAAAGGGATCCATCAGTTTATATGAGACAAAAGTCAAAGAAAGCACTCTGAAATATTAGGGGTAGGGTGGCTAAACCTGTTCCTAGCTGCTGGTGTGTCAATGCCCGAGGAACAGCGCAGACACTCCCCTCCCGGGCTGCAGCTAGCATAATCTGCATTATGAAGCTCCGAGGGAGGGAGCCGCTGAGAACACAGCCAAGTACCCGCATAGCCCATTCCTTTCACCTACATGAAAAAAGGCTGGGTTCTTCCTCACCCTTCCTCTGGAAAGCCAGAACTAGCTATGCCACCAAAACTCAAAATTAGTCAATTCCTAAGTTGAACCTGAAACTTTCACAGTTCTAAAATCAATAATGAAGCCTGCATGTTTTTTCCTAATTCAAATGTACAGTACTTTGTTTGAGGGGAGGGTTGCAGCTGCTCTGTAATGCCTGCCTGGTTGGGGATAAAAAGGTTCTTAGTAAACTGACTTTAAACTATTTTTCCTATGTTAAAAATGGGCCCATCCTTTCATCTGTATGGGATCCTGTGAACAATATTATGCAGTGCCATATCTAGGGACAATCCCAGGCTTGTCTGGAAGGGATGTGGCACTTTAGCCTCTCAGAGAGCTTTTGCCTTTAGAGAAATTACAGCAAATAAAGAAGAAAATGTTTCAAAGCTTCTGGGCCAGCTCCTGTTACCAACCACTTGAATATGTTATTGCACTGAAGCTTCATAACAGAGAGCTTTCAGATGGATGTAAAATACTGGTTCATAACTTGATGCATTAGTTATGAATTATGACTGTGTCAATTTACCCATCACTACTGGGAACTGGCACTGAGAGAGAGAAAGTGAGAGAGGGAGATGAAGGGCACCAAATTCTATCTGGAAGGATAGAATGCTTCTAGAAACACATACACTGTATCCTAAGGTCTTTAGAATACTATGATACACCCTGCTAAAACTGTCTAACGTGTTATGCATCCCATCTCAGCTTAAGATTATTAGACCAAAGCAGAAGCAGAGTCAGCCCTACCATAGACAGAGGGGCATGGCTGATTTAAGGCACAGCATAAAGGCAGCAACCTGGTAGTTCCTTAATTTATTCTTTGTGGTTTGAACTGCCAGAGGAGAAAAATGCTTGTGGGTTTTTTGTTTTGTTTTGTTTTGTTTTTTGGCCCCCAGTTTCAAAATAACTTGGCTGTCCTTGAGTCCTGTTCACCTTGTCTTTGCTGCTTTGGCAATGTACTGCTTGGGTGCATCCTGTACAGAGCCAGCTATTAACTGGTATGTAGAGAAAAGACATCAATGCTTGCATTAAAACAGCCATGGGCAACAAACAGGTCTCCAAGGTATGGAAGGACGATGCCTGTTAAGCGCAGCCATTCCTGAAAACAGCTCCAGTTCCATGCTGCTGGCAGCTTCAGGTTATGAAAGGGTAAATTGCACTTCCTAATCATGTGAATGCCTTGCAGGACAGAAAGCAGGCAAACTCACCAATAACTTACCAAGTATGCCACGAAGGCTAGGTAGAAAACGCTGATAACTGCAGCGCACACGTATAATACCACTTGATCCAGGGCAGTTACATAGACCACCACAAAATAAACGTTAATGGAACAGATTATAAGAATGAGGATCCCCCCGGCGATCTTCCAGCCTCTGGAAACCAAATTAAGAAACAGCATTACAATGGAAGGAAATCGACTGAGAGTAACTATTTATGGCTAATCGTGGAAAATGGCAAGTAGGAGCTATGATACATATTCTAAGGCTCACAAACATAAAGATCTCCATAGAATTTAAACAACACCATCACCTATTGGACTGTATGTTGTAACACCTGCGATGGGAAATGGATGAAATGTTTTGTGCCAACAAGCGAGAGTGTTTTTTTACATGCTCTAAGGGAAATGCTATTTTCTTTCAGTACGTTAGACAGAGGACAGCAAGAAAAAATGCCCCTTTCCATTATTGTACCTCATTTCTGGAATTCTCTTCCTAAAGAGAAGCAACTGGCACTCTTGCTATTCTGTTTTTGTGGCCAAGTAAAGACTTTTTTTAATTTAATTCTGCTTTTAGAATTAATGGTTTTATTATGCTATTCTTGCTGCTGGCTTTGTAGTTGCTTTCATTTTTGTTTATGTTATCTCTCTGTTCAGTACCTTACATTAATTGGATTTTATGTGGTTTTAGATGTTACCATTCTAATTTTATTATGGCTATGTTATGTTGCAGTTCCTGTTTTCCTGTGAGCTGCCCAGAGAGCCCCTGGACTATGGGGTGAATACAAATACCATCAATCAAATGTCCTTGGAGCCAAATGAATCTTACACCGATAGAAGAACACTTGCACTCTTGTAAAACAGGCTCCCCAAGTTCTGGTACCCCCCCCCCAATTCTCCTGAGGCCCCTCATGCCCCATCCTGTGCTGAGCCAGCAGGTCCCTGGATCCTCAGGTGTCGCTTGGGGTGGGATTCAGTGAGCACAACAACCCAAGAAAACCCTCCACTCACATCTCTCTGGGTGCAAACCAGTAACTGTTGTAATTAATAGCTTACAACATTAAGATGAAATTAAAATTTTCCCCATCTCCAATTAATTGGAGTGGAGCCAGTTAAAAGGTTTGAGACTGGAAAGTGGACCACATTGCTATCCAACAGTAAGGTCGGTCCTTATCTGACCCTCTGGTCTGGTCTACAAAAAGCAGTGGATGAAGCGCTAAAATTGTTCCTGGAGTAATCCACCCCAGAGGCAAGTGGTTGTGATGACGTGTCACGTGTCTGACTGCTTCCCTGTTTTCAGACCTGTGCATTCCCTTTACATGGAAATCTGAGAGGGTTCTGTCCTAACCTTCTTTCTGACATGCTTGACTTCTGTCTTAAGGAAAGTTTTTTTTTATAAAAAGATATAAGCAGGCATTCCAATACACAACCCCCACTTGCAGTCTGAAGCAGTACAGTTCCGGAATAGTTTTGCCATCACATCAGTCCTTCAGTTAACCCAGCCTTCCCCAACCTAGTGCCCTCCAGATGTTTTGGACTTCCGCTTCCATGAGCCTCAGCCAGCAAGGCCAAAGGTCAAGAATGCTGTGAGATGCAGCCCAAAACGGGGCACCAGGTTGGGGCAGGCTGGTGAGGACCACACCTGGACTGCACTCTGTGCACTGCATGCATCTTTGCACATGGCAACCACCCAAAGCTGAATCCCACGTGTGGCAAGAGCAGGAACACGGTACAGCCTGGCCACAGCCTAGGAGTATTTCTGTGCCAACTATTCCCCCGTGGACTAGCGTATGCAGGGGTGATCGCAGGACTGGGTCCTGGCTTTGGGAGAGTGGCTGCAAAGCCGTGCCTCGTGGGTTCCCTGTGCTACGTATTCAGGCAGGTATGCATTGTGCATCCGCACACAGAGCCACATGCACATGCGGGGATTTTCCTGTCGCGGAAAGAAAGTGCAGCCTCAACGTGCCAGCAGATTAAGTCCACTGAGAGAAGAACAGGGAAGTCAACCAGACATGTGTTCTATGGTAAGGTGCTGAGCTTGGCCAAGTGACGCCAGCTTTGAGATGCTGAGAAGCAGTGCAGATGAGACATTCCAGATGTTGGCAGCTCTCAAGACATTCAAGGGCAGGGAAAACACCATTCTTCACACTTACAGGCCATTGGCAAAGTCATTCATCACAGGACGCAGACTGGTGAATGTGAGGACTGGGATTAAAGCAAAAGGAAGCTGGAAAGAAAAGACAAGGAATTATGCTGAAGCAGGTTGTGATGCATTTGTAATGAGTGAAGTTAAGGGCACACCCACACTGCAGCTTTTCCATTGCCTGCTGAAGACTTTTCAGTACTAAATCCAGCATCTTTTACCAGCCGAAACAGAAACCATTTCTGAAGTTTTATACATGGAGAAAAATTCAGGCTGAATGTGGGCAAATGGACAGTAAGATTCCTTATGGATGTTAATGGCTGGACAATCTGCTTTGTGAGGGAAAACACACAGTCCAATTTCTTGGCTGTTTAATTAGCACCAGTCACATACCAACTCTCTATAACTTAGGAGGCTCCCCCATATTAACAAACTTCTCATTAAACCCAAACTCCGCTTGGGTGACGTCGCTGCCACCACTCTCTGTTGGTCGTATTTTCCTGGCTGGGCTGGGAGCCTTCTTGATACTTATAAATTAAGACACAGAAAGTAAGGTTGACAATAAAGCCCTTTGGGGAGGTCACTGAGGAAGAAATCCACCCCAGCATTTGGTGAATATTTATTTATGTGATGTGCACCACACCCTTCTACCAAGAAAGAAGGTAGTCAAGGCAGCTGAGAATCACAATTAAAACTGGGTTAAAATAACAAAAAGCAAATGCATTTGAATTAAATGCTCAAGATGAGGCTTATCTACTCAGAGAAACAACAGGCTTTACAGACAAAAAACAAACACCATACATACGCTCAGGCATGAAAGAAATACATTCATTATACACTCTAGCTGCACTGACACTAACTGTGGGATTACTTAGTGGGTAGCACAATTATGTGGGACAAGGCCAGGCATGGAAAGAATCTCACATCTTTCCCGATGGACTAGCCTGAACTGGCAGGGCATCATGTGCTTGCACCAGCCCCTCCCTGACAGAGGAGGGGCTTCTCTCTTGACAGGCAGCCCCTCAGCCCAGTCAGAAGACACGCTGGCAAATGTGAGGCATGACATATTTCTGATGGAAAATCTGCTCTCTTTGCCTTTTCTCCCACCATGGGCTGTTCCTTGGTTTCCCAGCCTTTGTGTTGTTTTTCCCCACTCTAGAAGGCTGGAAGGCTTCGCCTAAGGTTTAGTGACCATCAGGAAGAGCTTCGAGCTCTAATATGCTAGTATTTTACCCTGCCTCTTTTGACTTTGGTCCCACCCATTGCTGAAAGTTGGGCCCAAGAGCTTCTCCATAATGATATTTGGGTCCTGGGCATGAAAGAGGACCTGTGCCTCTGCTTTGTAGGACCACCAGTTATTTTGCTTCTTTGGTCATGACTTTTGCAAATCATTCTACCACTCCCAGATTCTGTCTTGTTCCCCAACACCCATGTAAGGGCTAATTTTACAGCTGGCACTACATGCTTTTCCATAAGTGTTCTTTAGGATAGGCCTCCTCCAACTCCATCAAGGACCTTACCTGTAAACTCATAAGAACATTGAGGAAGTCATTCATGCCAGTCAGGTGCTCCACGTCTTGGAAAATGGCTACCAGAAGAGTTGGAGTGACAGCAATGGAACGAGTCAGAACCACCCGAGCAAAGCGTGACCACTTCAGATTGAGAAACCCCTGGAACAAGGAAGGGGGAGAGAGGGTTAATTCTAGAAGATGTGGCATCTTTTATATACCCCTTTAGCCATAAAAATATTACAAAATGTTCAACCAGAAAATATCCAGCTTCATGAAAGATGTCCGCAAACGACTACGTGGATTTTGGCTTTACCATCAGGGTATTCCGAAAGAGAAGCTCACAACCTTTCAGAATTTCTTCTTCTCATTTGTTCTTACATAAGTCTGTATTTTAGTTTTACAACAATACCATACAGGGTGTCTCTCATTCATTTCATGATTAAATAACTAAAAAGGTTCCAAACACAAATGAGCCAACACAAGCTGTTCATGAAGTCTTTATGCTTAAACCAAGAGTGCAAAGGGACTGCACGGACCCACTGCTTCAGTCAGGACAAAGCCAAGCCTGCAGCTTCCTTTTGCTTTAATCCCAGTCCTCACATTCACCAGTCTGCGTCCTGTGATGAATGACTTTGCCAATGGCCTGTAAGTGTGAAGAATGGTGTTTTCCCTGCCCTTGAATGACTTGAGAGCTACCAACATCTGGAATGTCTCATCTGCACTGCTTCTCAGCATCTCAAAGCTGGCGTCACTTGGCCAAGCTCAGCACCTTACCATAGAACACATGTCTGGTTGACTTCCCTGTTCTTCTCTCAGTGGACTTAATCTGCTGGCACGTTGAGGCTGCACTTTCTTTCTGCGACAGGAAAATCCCCGCATGTGCATGTGGCTCTGTGTACGGATGCACAATGCATACCTGCCTAAATACGTAGCACAGGGAACCCACGAGGCACGGCTTTGCAGCCACTCTCCCAAAGCCAAGACTATGCATGCCTTTCTATCTTGAAGTAACAGTGCATGTTGAACGGTTTCATTAGGGAACTGGGCCATTTGGACTACTGGTTTTACATGTCTGCATTTCAGCTTTGCAGGGGTCCTGTACTGCTGTGGGAAAAAAGATCCTGATGACCAGCATGAACCATCCTACCTGGAGAGAGATACATTACCTCCATGGCAAACTGTCCAGAATAAGTTCCAGTCATTGTTGAACTCTGACCTGCAGCAAGAATCCCGATAGCCCAGATATAGAGAGCAGCAGGACCAAAGTAACATCCCAGGATGACACCCTAGAACACAGAAGGGTCCCTATCAGTGTTATAATAGTAAAATTCAACAAAAAGGGAGCAAACAAGTCCTAGACATAGGCCTACAGGTAAGCAATCTAATATAAGGAGACATTACATTAAAACCATTATTTAGAACAGGATGGCCTAATGGTTAAAAGAAAACGTGAGCCTGCTGCCATGGCTACAATGCACATATTAAATATTATTAGTAGCGGACAGCAAAATATTCATTTTCTGTAAGAAAGGACAGGTTGCTTACCTGTAACTGATGTTCTTTGAGTGGCCATCTGTGCAGTCACACATATGGGGTTCTGCGCCTGCGCAGTGCCTTTGGCCGGAAGATTAACAGCTAACGGTTTTTGGCGGGAACTCTGCTCCCCCTCCCCCCTAGCATTATATAAGGAGCGGAGTATAATATCGCTATAATGTCTGGCGAAGGTACACGGAGTAGCCCAAATGGCCGCTCTGCACACGTCTTCTATCGGGACTCCTGATGCGAAGGCCAAAGAAGTAGCAACAACTCTTGTAGAATGGCCTCTTGGAGTAGATGGTAAGTCCAACTTAGCCAACTGATAAGATAGGACAATTGTATTTACTATCCATTTCGAAAGACGTTGTGAGTTTACTGGGCAACCCCGATCATGTTCCGAATATTTCACAAAAAGTCTATTGGAACACCGAACAGACTCAGTCCTGGACCTATAAAAGGCTAAGCAACGATGAACGTCCAGCATATGTAGAGATTGTTCTGTCGGATTCGAAGGGGCCGGAAAGAATGCCGGTAAAACAATCTCCTGTTGCATGTGAAACGAAGTAGCGACCTTCGGAAGGAAAGACGGATCCATTCGAAGAATCACCTTTTCCTTATGAAAATTTAGGAAAGGGGGTTCTACCCGAAGGGCACAGAGTTCAGATGATCTACGGGCTGAAGTTACTGCAATAAGGAAGGCCGTCTTCCATGAAGCAAGGCGTAGATCGATCGTTGCCATGGGTTCGAAAGGTGGTCAAGTCAGTGCTTGTAAAACCACCGAAAGACTCCAGGTGGGCATTAGAGGTCTTATAGTTGGATGTAGATTACTCAATCCTCTTAAAAATCTTTTAATCAGAGGTTGAGCAAAGATGGAGAGACCATGTATAGATCCCCGATAATGCGAAATCGCTGCTGTATAAACCTTTATGGACGAGGGTTTGAGTCCAGACTGATGCAATTCAAAGAGAAACTGAAGTATCTGTGAAACAGAAGCTGAAGGGGCCAGAAAAGAGTGTAAATTGGCAAAGTTAGAGAATCTCTGCCATTTTGCCACGTACAACTTCCTAGTAGATGGTCGTAGCGCAGATTCGAGGATATACTGTAGGTGTGGGTGTAGACTCTGCTGAGCAGGAATAGTTGGAACAGTTTGTGGTGTCGATACCGTTGTATCAGAGGCGATCATTGTATCCTCCATGCAGTCAGTTTCAGCGATAGCAAATCTGGGTGACGGATTGCGCCCTCCCTCTGGGTAATGAGATAAGGAAGAAGAGGGAGTTGGAGAAACTCTTCTCTGGAGACGTGAAGGAGAGTTGAGAACCATGGTTGGTGTGGCCACGGGGGGGTGATCAGTACCCCTGTGGCCCCTTCGTGAATTATCTTTGCCAACACTCTCATGATGAGTGGGATCGGAGGGAAAGCATAAAAAGTCATGTTTGTCCAGGGAATCATGAAAGCGTCCCTGAGGGAGTCCTGACCCACTCCCGCTCTGGAACAATATGCCGTGCATGCCCTGTTCCGTTGTGTGGCAAACAGAATGATGTCTGGCTGGCCCCATCGGTGAAATAGCATGTCACGAACCCAATGGTCTAGCTCCCATTCGTGGGACCGCGACGTATGTCTGCTCAAGAGATCAGCGTCTGTATTTTCCGTGCCCGCAAGGTGAATTGTTACGAGAGTGATACCTCTCGGTATGCACCAGTCCCAGATCTGCATGGCCAGGCGGGCTAGTTTCTGGGATCGGGTTCCCCTTTGTTTGTTTAAATAAAAGACTGTCGCCATGTTGTCCGAGGTCACCTGGACGACCTGGTGCAGAAGCACATCCTGGAATGATTGAAGGGCTTTGAAAACGGCAAGAAGTTCCAGAAAACTGATATGGTTCCTGCAATCCTGATGACTCCATATCCCTTGGGTACGTAGATCGGAACAGATTGCTCCCCATCCCAGTAGAGACGCATCGGTACCGAGGGTTATTGTAGGGTACCGGGGTCAGAATGGAACACCTATGGTTAGATTGGCTGGGTCTATCTACCATAACAGGGACTGAAGAACGGAAGCCGGGAGTCGAATCCGTTTGGTAGGGAGGTCTATCTGTGGTTGAAACACCCCGTTGAAGAACAGATGAAGGGCACGTAGCCTGAGTTTGGCATGTGGAACCACAGCAATGGAAGAAGACATGTGACCCAACAGACTCTGAATAGACCGGGTGGGAGCAGTTCTTGTTTGTCGAATCCAAGCAATGCAATGAGCAATCGCATGTCGTCTGTCCCGAGGAAGGAAGGCTCTTGCCAACGTCGAATCCAGTCAGGCTCCGATGAAGCTGATCACCTGCGTAGGGAGAAGGGAAGACTTCTGTTGATTAATACAGAGTCCGAGATTGTGCAATAGAGCACATGCAAACTCAACAGCAGACGAAAGTCCTGCTTCTTTGTCGGCGACCAAAAACCAACCATCAAGGTACGGGTATATCCGAATTCCACGTAATCGAAGGTGTGCACAGACAGGGGCCATACACTTCGTAAAAACTCTTGGTGCAGTGGCCAATCCAAACGGTAGCACATTGAATTTGTAGATTTCAGAGTCCACCGCAAAACGAAGGAAACGCCTATAACTTGGATGTATTGAAATATGAAAATAGGCATCCCTCAGATCCAATGAGGCGAACCAATCCCCTCTTCCCAGCAACGGAAGAATACTTTGAAGTGTAGTCATCTGAAACTTCTTTGATGTTATAAATCTATTGAGAGCTCTCAAGTCCAATATTGGTCTTAGACCCCCATCTCGTTTTGGAACTGTAAAGTATCTGGAATAGAATCCGTGGAATCCTTCCGATAACAACAGGCGACGAATAGCTCCTTTAGCGAGGAGTTGGTGAATCTCGTCTAACAGTACCAAAGAAGTCGGAGTATATCGAATAGGATTCGCTGATGGTACAACATCGAATTCGATTCCATATCCGTGCTGGATGACAGATAACACCCATCCATCAGATGTGACGGACTCCCAAATGGAGAGTCGACTCTTCAGTTGATCCCCAAATGAGAGGGGGGAGGGGGGAGTTGGAATGAGAGGAGAGGTTCGCTCATCACATCAGCGCTGTCGCCTGTCCGTATCGAAACGATGGCAGTGGCCCTGTTGGAAGCGCTGTGGCGGTTGTTGCCTGCGACGCTGCTCACCATGCGGTTGCTGCTGCCGAGGCAGAAACTGTTGATGGTACTGTGGACGTGACCATGACCACTTACGTCGGGGTAGAGATTGCAATTCCATATGATGGGCGGTCATCCTTGATTCATGGATTTTCTTCAATTTGCTGTCCGTCCTTGCATGGAAGAGACCGGAACCGTCGAACGGCATCTCTTCAATTCTCCGCTTCATCTCGTCCGGAAAATTGCAATTACGCAACCAGGCGTGCCTGCGGGGGGAAATTACACTGACCAGCGACCTCGAATCAGAGTCCACATGGTGCCTCGTGGTAGAAAGCTGTTGCACCGCCACTTGCATAGCTTCCTTAACAAAAGTCTTAGCAAGTTCGCCCTGGTTTCCCGGAAGAGTATCGATGATGGCGTCCAGGCGTTGCATCAGGAAATATTGGTAACGCGCCAGGGTTGCCTCGTAATTGGAGATTCTTAAACCAAGGCCCGAAGCTGTGTATACCCGGCGGGTGAGAGAATCAACCTTTCTACCCTCTTTGTCACGAGGTGAGGTGTGTCCACGGGCTTCCCGACCCTGCGAGGATTCTACAACAACCGAATTTGGCTTGGGGTGGCGGAGAAGAAATGGGATGTCCTCTTCCTGCACCCGATACATGGACTCATATTTACGAGAGGTCAGTTGTGGATTAGCTGGGAGGTCCCATGGCTGGGTCATTGCCTGCCGTAAGGTCGTAATAAACGGCAAGGCAATAGATGTGGATCGTTCACCTCTAACCACATCATAAAAACGATTGGTGCTCGGTCCTGGCTGTTGGTGGGCTTCTATATCGAGCGATCTCACTAGTCTGGCCATCAGATCGTTAAACGATATGTACGGTTCCTCAGGCGACCCCGGACCCTGGGAAGCAACTGCAGCATCCGGCGAGGTTGAGTCAGCCTCAGACTCTTCGGATTCCATCCAGTAGGGGGGTGGTTCACTGGAGGAAGAATCTCCTGGAGACTCTGATCTGCCACTCTCTCTAGATGGTGCCCTTGGGGCGTCTCTGGGCATTGAATGGAAACGCTGCCGAGGCGCTGATGGTGAAGATTGTCCCCTAGAGGTTGGATAGTAGGCTGTAGAGTGGTACTCTGTCTCGGAGCAGAGAAGTACCTGGAGTGGTACCAATCATCAGATCTCGCATCCGAGGAATGGCTCCTACGGCTTCTCGGAGGGGAGATGGCGATCTCAGTATCCATCGGGATCGGAGGCATCGGGGTTGGTGATCAAGCCCTAGGTGGGGAGTCTCGTATTTCCCCATCAGAGATGGAACCCCTCCTCGAATCCATAACGGGTTCGGCTGCTGGCCGGCGCGGTGAGCCCGGTGGGGTGACCCTCATAGCCGCCTGGATGGTCGGGACCGAGGGGGTTGGTTCCGAAGTAGGTATCGGAATCGAGGAGGAGGCCGAGCCCGAGTGACGGTGTTTTGCCTGCTAGGGGTTCTTCGGCTTCTTAACTGGCTTGCCCGCCTTATCTTTCTTGGCCTTCTTATGCACAGGATATTTATCTGAGTCGCTGTGCTTTCTTTTTTCCTTTTGCTTCTTCAGGAAGGAAACAGACTGATCGGCCACAGCATGAGCGCCTTCTTCAGAAGGGTGTGAGGGTGGAGCAATGGAGGAAGAGGCCGGATGTTGCAGCAGGTCAGCCAAGTTGGACGGCCTTCAGGTGGGGCCACAACAGTGGAAGGCTTAGCCACCAGCAGATCAGATTGGAGGAGAGCCCGATCCCAAAGGAGTTTGCGGAGGTGATTCTCCCTGTTCTTCCTTGCCTGTTAGAGAAGGCCAAACAATGGCCGCACTTATTGGTTCTGTGCCCTTCCCCCAAACAAAGGAGGCACAGATCATGCGGGTCCGCGGCGGGCATTTTGGAACCGCATTTTCCACACTTGCGGAACGCCGCCCGTTGCACCATCGTAGAAAGAAGAAAAAAGGAGATAGTAAAGCGGGAAAGTAATATTTTTGGTTGTTTTTTTTAATAGGAACGATAAAGAAGAAAAAATGGTGCAAAATTAAAGAAATATAAGTGAAATACTAACAACAAGAACAAGGGATATAAACTTGGTAAAAGAGAGATTTTCGGACGAGCAAGAAGGTAAGTAACAATCTGATCGAGAGCGAAGCGGCACTAGGCACAATGAACGGCGGTTGCAAAGACTGGAAAATGGCGGACACTCCGCTCCTTATATAATGCTGGGGGGAGGGGGAGAGGAGTTCCCGCCAAAAACCGTTAGCTGTTAATCTTCTGGCCAAAGGCACTGCACAGGCGCAGAACCCCATATGTGTGATGCACAGAGGCCACGACAAAGAAACAGGCTTGCATTGTTCCTTTCACTGGAAGCAAGGACAAAGGAACCTCCTTATGGTTTTTTGTAGAATCCCAGGTGACAATATAAAGGGAGGCTAACACTTGCCTTGTATTCATAATTCCCCCTTCAATGTTGCTAAATCCAGAAGGAAAACAGTTGCTGATCTGTCTAGCACACCCTTGGCTACGGAAGTGCGGACGGTTGACCTCATGCCCAATGGAGTCCCCCTCCTGCTTTTTTTTTTTTTCTTTTTTACATGACTGATCTCTTCTGTGTCCCCAAAATCAACCAAGCTAGGACATAAATAGGCTGGTTTCTGCTGCTGCTATTTTACACACAAGCAATTTTACTATTCATCTTGAAATGGTATAACAGGTACAAAGCCCAGCTAACATTCCAGTGTAACCTCAAGAAAAATGCATAATGCCTTTCACTCACCCCTTTATAGATATCCACATCAAGTGAGTCATTGTTTGCTGGAAACAGCCCAGCTTGAGCAAAAGTTTTATTTGCACAGATTAGATGCTGCAAATAGAAAGAGACACATTTTTAAAATAACATTTTCACAAGGTAGATCTGAGTATGAGAAGAGACATTCTCATTCCGAGAAAGGAAGTTGTGGTAGAAATAGAGGAATATAAGAAAAGCAAAGCCCAATCCTAGTTTACCATTTTATAAGTGTCCCGGAAAATGAAAAACAAAACAGAAACCCAGATAAAAATATGTTACAGTGCATCAACTCACTCATTACCGATCCCAAACAACAATGTTCTCAAAAGAGAACTTCTAGATGTTCAGTGGGTGTTCCCCTAGCCACAAACTGCCCCCCCCCCAGCACACAGTTCAGGCTTGCTTTATGTGCTGGGGATGCTTGCATCCAAAAGGCATATGGCTTCTGCATCCTTTAGTCTGATCCTGGAGAAATAGTTCCTTCAATACTTCCCACAATGGAGCTAACTGCAACTATCTGTTACCATCTGCAGAAGGGAGCAGAAAGAAGGCAACCTGAAATTGCCCCACAGCAAATTATCATCCCATGAAAGTTTTGCTGGGTTTATCGCTGATCAAGTACAGACACTTGGACATGGAGCTGCCTTATGCCACGTCAGACCACTCATTTCCCTCTCGCCTAGTCCCATCACCTCCAGCGGACAAACCTGGAGTCAACATGGGTGGGCAGCTGCCAAGGGCCCACCTGTGCCAGGGCTCCTGAGCCCACCAGCCTGCCACTGCCCTTACCCATCTCCTCACCTACCTGGGAAGCACACCTTGGTCTTACACCCCAAAAGGACTAAGTTCAAAAGCAGGGATGAGGAGGAAGCCTCTGCAGCTCCCCAGATGGTCCTGGATTATGTCTCCAGGCATCCTTGACCAACAGCTGCACTGACTGAGGCTAAGGGAATTTTGAGGCCAGCAATGCCTGGATTACATTGGGCACCTGATTGGGAAAGGCTGTCCTAAAGAGTGCCAAAATAAGACTCACCTACCCTCATCTGCTCCTGTAAAGGTCACTTACTGCTGCACTTTCTGAGCTGAAGGCAGCTCATGCATTGCATTCCTGCACAGCCCAGCAGCTAAGCTCTCTGAGCAGTTCAGAGATACAGCAGGCAGCCTCCTGCTTGACTCACAGGAGCTTTTACTTCCTTCGTCCATGCACTGAAGTTCACTTTGGCTGTCAGGGGCTCTCCCAGTTGCCAGACCAGAGATCTTTCCGAGCTCTGCTGCCCAAGGTCCTTCACACCTAAGATGCCAGGGACCAAACCTAAGACCATCTGCCTGCAGAGGAGATGCAGTGAGGTGTGCACTCCCAGCCTTCATATGCTGCACTTCCTCCCAGAAGTTAAACCTGGAAAACGCTGTTTGCTGCTCATTAACTCAAGAAACGGCTGCTTGCCAGGGAATAAATGTTATGGTAGCACCTGCCCTGTTTTATTCATTCCTTTGCCTAATATGTTTATAAGCTATGTTCCTTCCTGTAAGGATATCAACTGGCTTGCATGATCCTCCTCTTCTCTGTTTTATCCTCACAACAGGGCTGTATGGCAGCCTTTAACTGAGAGCCTTTGAGGAGGAATTTCAACCATTTGGTAGGGGGGAACCTGCTCAAAATGTGAATAACTAGCAGTCAATTGGTGGTCAGAAGAAAAAGGGTGGGGTGAGGCAAGAGCCAGATCAGCACCCCATGCTTGAGGTTCTGCACTCCTGTGCCACAACGTCTTGTAATTATTTCAATATTATTTGTTTGCCTGTTAAAACTGAAGGAAAAAGCATGAGAGAGGAAGCAGGGGAAAGCATATGGAGTCTCACCGCATCAATATTCTTCTTCCCAAAGAAAGCTTCAGCAAAAACGGAGACGACAAACACATTGATGATGAAGGAAATGAAGAGGGCAATACATGATTCTATGAAGAAATATTTGTTGGCTTCGCTGACCTCCTTCTTGTTGGCCCGATTCACCTGTCGAGACTGGACAAGGAGACCAAAAATCAACTCAGTCTACAAGGGGAAAAAGCCCACTGAAGGTATAGTCAAGGTGTAACCATGTCTGACCAATAGGTGCTCCTCCCCAAAATTTAGAATATTCTTCCATCTTTCTGAAAGACATGCTATACTGTGACAATACACCCAAGAATATGCCAGAGTTAGAGGAGATTTATGGGGATCTCTAACTTGACCAAACCAAGATGGCATTAAAGGAAACACCATGCCCTTTGGGCAGCTAAAAAACTGGCAATACAACACTAGAAAGGTAAATGTCTACTTCCTGCAACGCAATGGACAGAGGACCTGAAGATGCTGCCAGACTTTTGAACAGGTGGTTATTTAAATAGCTCTTGCGTGTGTATAAATATATGGATATTTGATCTGCCTTTCCTGAAGCTTATGCATAACTGCTTTTATTGATAGTTGCATTTTCATATACACATACGCTCATAGGTATACATTGTATATAGATCCATGATTTATTTAAGTTTATCTAACGGGATTTTATATTTTTCTTTTTATAGTTTTATTTGTTGAAATTCCCCTTTTTTATTGTGAGCACCCACTTTGACTGAACAAGAACGGCTAAAAATGTGGAATTTTCCAAGTAAGGAAGTTACCCCAATTCACCTCCTCCCCAGTTTACCTTCCATTACTTGCAGCCTGTAAGGGGTCTTAAGCTAGTGTCTGACATCAATAGAGCAGTAGTGGAAATGAAGGTCACTGCAAAGGAAACATGGCCTAATGCTACAGGAAACTACCCAAACTAGCGCTTCTGGAATGGCACGAAGAAGCAAAGCTTGCAAAAGGAAGCCCTGCTAGTTTGCTCATTTCAAAGGGATTTGTTTCCAGGGTTGCATAACTTGGTGCTAGCTTTGTGTTGCATTTGGCACTGCATTCACAAGAATGCCCAGGCCTTTCTGCTGTTGCTATATATTGATGGATCCCTCCCCATGCACGGCATCTTGGGAGACGGATTGTAACTACGGGGTGGTGACAGAGTTACCAGGAGCGCTAAGAGAGTGGATGAAGTTGCTGTCCTGCTCCTTCTCTCTCCCCTCTGCCAAACCTCCTGCACGTTCTTACATTATTTTATCAAAGGATCTGAGCTAACTGGGCTGGTATCAGCCCTAATGTAGAGGTCACCATTTAAATTGGAGTGGTGGATTTCCCTGGCTGGGTGCAGCCATGCTCACAATTACAGCAACTGTGGTTCAAATGCAGCTCTTGCCACAGAACACACAACCACTTCAGGGCCAAGTGTGTGTTTTGTCATGGGCGAGGCATTTCCAAGGGGGAAAAGACTCATGCGGAAATGCTCTCCCCATCCTCATGTGAAAACTCTTGTGCTCTCCCCATCCCCATGTGAAGCCCTTGGGGGAAAACCAAGCTTACCTTGACCAAAGCAGAATGCAGGTACATGTTGTGCGGCATGATGACGGCGCCCACGATCCCCACAGCCTGCTCTAGCTGGGCAGGGCCGCAGCCTTCACAGTACGGCATAAACATCCCCTTCAGCAGTTTGCCCTGGTCTGGTCGCACGGTGACATACTGCAAAACATGTGCAGGATTACATCTGGAGCAGAAACTGGCCTTACAAGCCACAGACTTCAGCCCTGTGCTCATTTCAGCCTGCCACAGCAGTGCCCTCATAAGGCTCTCTCCCTGTCGTACCGAAGCCCCCACCTTGGCCGGCCCTGACAAGGTGAGGCTGAAACAGACAGCCAGTGTTGTGTGGTGGTGAGAGGGCTGGATCTGGGCCACGGAAATGGGGGTTCAGCTCACTGCTCAGCCATGAGGCTCTCTGGTGACTGCAGGCTAATCCGCACAACAGTGCAAAAAGACCAACATGTCCCCCTGAAGGATGAGGTAATATATGATGATGTTCGTCCATCGTTTTCGATGAGGACCTTGACATCTAATGGGTTGTGAGTTGTCCACGGTGTGTCCGCAGGTGGCTGATAAGGCCGACACGGGCACGGAGTGTTCTGCCACATGTCAGGCAGACATGTGTGGGCACCACTGTTGCAACATTTGCAACTCTGGCTTTACGGAGTGCTCGCTTCTCTTGTCCTATTGTTGTCCTTCTGGCTTCAGAAGTTTGGCAGCCTTGGTGGATCAGCGTGCGCCATGTCGATCGGTCTTGTGCCAGGGTCTCCCAGGAGGTGGTGTTGATAACCAGGGACTTGAGAGAGGCTTTCAGCATGTCTTTGTATCTCTTCTTTTGTCCCCTGTGCAATCACTTTCCTTGAGACAGCTTACCACAGAAGAGCTGTTTGGGGATGCGGTGGTCTGGCATCCTTGCAACATGGCCTGCCCAGTGTGTCTGGACTTTCATCAGCAGGGTGTGAACTGATGGCTGGCCTGCTCTGGAGAGGACCTCTGTGTCTGGCACCTTGTCCTGTCACCGGATCCTCAAAAGTCGTGTGGAAGTGGTTCAGTTGCCTAGCGTGTCTCCTGTATACTGTCCAAGTCTCATTGGCATACATCAGGGTAGTTAGCAATACTGCTTGGTAGACTTTAAGCTTTGTAGCAAGGCTTATTCCATGGCGGTCCCACACTTTGGTCTGCAGTCTGCTGAATGCAGAGCTTGCCTTGGCGATTCTGCAGTTGACCTCGATGTCAATTGTCACTGTGTGGGAAAGGGTGCTGCCAAGGTATGTAAATTGGTCCACTGCTTGCAGCTTTTGTCCCTTCACTGTGATGGTGGGCTCTTGGTATTGGGCTTTTGGAGCTGGCTGATGCATCACTTTGGTTTTCTCTGTGTTGATGAGGAGGCCGAAGTTGTTGCAAGCTACTGCAAATGTGTCCATGCTGGCTTGCATTTCCTGCTCTGCTCCAGCATTCAGGACACAATTGTCAGCAAAAAGGAGGTCTCGTAGCACAGTCTCCTTTATCTTGGTGACAGCCTGGAGTCTTCGCAGGTTGAACAGTTTCCCATCGGTCCTGTATTTCAGACTGACTCCCAAGGAGTTGTTCTGAAAGGCGTCTGTCAGCATGGCTGACAACATTATGCTGAACAGGGTCGGTGCCAGCACGCACCCTTGCTTGACGCCATTTGTGACGGGAAAGGCCTCTGAAGCTTCTCTGTCGTCCAAAACGCGAGCTGTCATGCCTTTGTGGAACTGACGTACCATCAGGATGAATCTGTCAGGGCACCCAAACTTCGACATGATGCGCCACAGACCTTCACGACTCACAGTGTCAAAAGCCTTGGTGAGGTCCACAAAGATGGTGTACAGTTCACGATTCTGCTCTTGACTCTTCTCTTGGAGCTGTCAGGCTGTGAAGATCATGTCCACAGTGCCACGCTCTTTGCGGAAGCCACACTGTGTCTCGGGTAGTAGACCCTGTTCCAGGTGGTCAGTCAGGCGATTCAGCAACACACGTGCAAGGATCTTGCCTGCAATGGAGAGCAGTGATATTCCTCTATGATTATCACAGACTTGTCGATTTCCTTTCCTCTTGTAGAGGTGTACGATGGATGCGTCTTTCAGTTCCTGAGGAATGGATCCTTGATTCCAGAAGGACTGGAACAGCCAAGTGAGTTTGTCAATGAGCACTGCACCACCTTCCTTATAGACTTCCACTGGGATTGCATCAAATCCTGGGGCCTTGCCACTGGACAGCTGGCTGATGGCCTGTAGGGTTTCAGGCTTTGATGTTGGGGCATCCAGGCTGTGGTTGATATCCGCCTGGGGCATTCTGTCAATCGCCTCATTATTGATGGAGGATGGGCAGTTCAGTACGGATTGGAAGTGCACAGCCCAACGCTGTAGAATCAGAGTCTTCTCAGTAATGAGAGTTGCTCCATCTGAGTCCAGTAGAGGGGAGCTCGCTGAAGGCTGAGGTCCGTACAAGGATCTGAGGGCTTTGTAGAACCGTTTGGCATCGTTTCTATCAGCAAACTTCTGGATTTCATCTGCTTTGGCACTCAACCAGGAGTCCTGCATCTTGCGAAGTTTGCTCTGTATAGTCCTGCGAGCGTTGTTGAAGGCGTTTTTCTTCGCTGTTGACAATGGGTTGTTCTGATGAGCATGGTGAAGGTGGTGCCTTTCTGTAAGGCCTTGATCTCTTCATCGTTTTCATCAAACCAGTCCTGCTGTTTCCTGTGTGAGGGTCCAAGAACCTTTAGTGCAGAAGAGTGCACAAAATCTGGGAAGCATTTCCAGTCCTTCTCAGCATTTTCCTCTAATTGCAGCTCTGAGAGTTGGTTGTCAAGATCTTCTGCTAGTGAAGCTGCTGTGTTGGGGTTCCTCAGTTTACTGACATTGATCTTTTTCATCACAGCTTTGTTTCCCTGCGGACGTCTCTTAGGCTTGATGTGAAGGCTTAATTTGGAGATGATAAGTCTGTGGTCATTCCAACAGTCAGCACTCGGCATGGCCTTGGTCACCCTTACATCCTGTCTGTCTTTCCTCCACAAGATGACATAACCAATGAGATGCCAGTGCTTGGAGCGTGGGTGCATCCAGGACGTCTTTTTGCGAGTGGGCAGGCGGAAGATGGTATTAGTGATGATCAGATCATGAGCCACACATGTCTTCAGTAGTGGTAGCCCATTGCTGTTACATTTGCCGATTCCATTTTTTCCAATGACGCCATCCCAGGCAGTGATTGGATCCCACTCTCGCGCTGAAATCGCCAAGTAGAATCAGCCTGTTGATGCACTTCACGGATGAGAGTAGGGCATCGAGATATTCATAAAACTTGTCCTTTACTTCATCCGGATTCGTCATTGTGGGTCCGTAGGGGCTGATCAGTGTGGCTTGCTTTCCTTTCGGTAGTGGGAGATGCATTGTCATGAGTCGGTTGTTCACACCCTTGGGAAGACTGGCCCATACACCCCTGAGGTAATATACATGTTGTTGGAGAATAGTTTCTCATGATATGCTGACTATCAGAGCTCACCTCACGGGGAGAGATTCATGTTTCCCATGCAAAACAAAAACTCAAAACCCTGGTGAGAAAAAGGTGGCTACAAAATGACTTCAAGCAAGCCACTGCACCACAAGAAAGCTATTCCTGAGAAAAGATGCTCTGGATTTTAGAAGTGAAATCATAAGGAATTACACTTAAACTTTTATACTTCCTTTAACTGAACAGCTGTACCTAAACAAGAGGCTGCCTTTGCCCACTAATGCGCTGGGGCCCACACTGTTTGCCATCTCCATCTGTCACGGAGAGACTCTGGCGAGAGTAGCAGCTTATTTGAACCGCTCTGCTGTCCCTGTTCTTCAGGGAAGCTACTTGGTTTAAGCTCCTATGTTTTAGACCAAGGTTTTATGTTGCATGTAATATTTATAACTATGCCAATAAAGGTTTTTACTACTACTACATTTGTCACTCATCTTCATGCTGAAACTGTTCCCCAGGCATCTCCAGGGCTGAACATGGACAGGCTGCTATCACGAGGGATGTACTGAAACTGCTTGTTTGGGCTCAACCCATTTCTTGCCTACTTCAGATTCACTGACTGGAAGTGAGTTGAGTTGGAGGTTTTTGTTTTTCCTGGAGAACTTCTGTTTTCAAGATAAAGTGCAATTTGCACGTCCTCAACTGCTAATCAAATTTGTACAAAAAAGCACTCAAAGACCACACGACTCTTGTGTGATTTGTGCTAACTGTAATCTGCACACAAAGTATTATTTCTGCCAATCAGCCAACTCTACAGAAGTTATGCTACAGCCACCTGGATCTGAGGTGCTTATTAAGGCTAATTTCATTAGTGGTTAAAAACGCACAAATCATGGTCCGTCTTACAGACAGAAATCTGCAAGCCAGCTTTCCTCACACCACAGCTGTTGGCTGCAGCACAGGGTTAACAAATCGGTCTCTGCTGAGACAACTGAATTCCTCACTCATCCCCACCCACCACTGAGATATAGTTCTATTTTATTTTAAACCAGAGATGAGGAACCCCCAGCTTCTGCCTCAGCCTGTATGTTCCCACGCCTAGCATAGGAAAGCTCTTATTCTCTGATCAGCTGCCAATCAGAGAGAACTTTTCTCTGCAGGCGGGAGTGAAGGGGGCCTGGAAAGGAAGTGGCTGAATCATTCAGTCTTTCTGAGGCTTGCCCTGCTCACTGTTGGGCAGACATGCTCATCAGGAAGTGTGCTGGCACATGCTGCCCCATCACCCCAAATGAGTCCTCCTGCAAGTAGCAGCAGCTAACTCACCAGGCACATACTAGGGCAAAAGAGTTTTGCCTTGCACCTGAATTGTCTCTCCTAGCATACCATCCCTTTACAGAAGCCGCCTTCCAGATCCAGGCTTCCTGGAGCACCAAGAGTCCCAGAGCGGAATGCATGGACAAAGACAGCATGTTGAGCTGTGAAGTTCTGGGCCAGCCTCAGATGGGGGAGAGGGGATATGCAGTGGCAGCCAGGAACCTACTTTTATAATATTTATACAGAAGGGGAACTCTGACATTTTCACCTGGTATATGATCTTAGGCAGATGAATCTCATGCAGTACAAGAGCTTTTGCTATAGTCAAAACAGAGGAATCCTACGGAGGATAAAATGCAGCTGTTCACTTTTTAACTTCTAAGTCTCAGATATTCAGAAACAGCATTACCTCATATCCAAATGTGACGGCCATAATGGTAATCAAAAAGCCAAAAAATGCTTCCAGTTTCCTCAACCCTGAAAGACACACATACACACCATATTAGCTGCTTTGGGAAGCTGAAGTTCAGCTCTTACACCTTCACGAAGAATAACGTTGTTTTGCTCAATTCCTCATGTAGTCACAGTGGACAGATGCTGTTGCGTGTGTTCCAACACCAACACAGTTGCACTTTTAAGGTGTAACTAGCAGTCAAAATATGCTCCACACCCTGATTCAACACCCAGGATAACAGTACCCTATTCTTCCAGAATGGAAAGATGGCCTTGCTGCAAGGAAAACAGCGGTCTGCTGCTATAACACACACCCAGTTCATATGCACCCCAAAGCCTTCAAAGAGCTACATTTTTCAAAAACAGAAAAGATTCAGAAATTGAGGGATGAGCAGAAAGAGGATAGCTATGTTGGTATCTAATTTTTAAAGGACCCTCATATGCACTCCCATTAGACAGCAAAGGAAAGCTCCAGTTTGGGCACAAAAAGAAAACACCAATGCTTTTAAAATTGAAGGAGTTTGACAAAATATTTTCAAAATGGTAATAGGAATTGTGCGGGCAGGGGGAGGTAGGGAGGGAGGAAAAGCTGTTATTCATCACTAGTGATATCAGAGATTCATGATATTCTTAACCTGAGTGTGGCACTCCTATTGCTAAAGCCATGCTCACTCGGGCAGGTGGTGGAAAGGAGGACAGCAGCAAAATATTGCTTGCTGAAATGGGGTGACAATGACAGTTGCTCTCTCAAATGGAAAAGGTCCTGGAATACTGAGTGACCAGTGCCAAAGAGGACCAATGCCCAGCCGCTTGTACATTCAATCAGAATGAAATCCTGCCAAGTTTAAGAGGACTCCTTTCCATCAAGGGTCCAAAGAATTGCAGCCGCAGAGACACCAAGCTGTCCTCCCATACAGCAGCCTTCCCCAACTTGCTCCCTCAGCGTTGCTGGATTACAACAACCATAACCACCCAGCCAGAGGACAGTGCCGAGGACAGTGGGAGTTGCAGTCCAACACCCCTGGAGGGTGCTGGGTTGAAGAACTCCACCATAATGCATTCACGGACATGGAGAAAGACTAGTAATCTACAAAGGTGTGAGGGAAGACTAGTACTGGGTTACAACGCTTGATTGCTATAGGAACTGGAAGCATCACATGCCTCAGGATTAATTGTCTGACTCAATGGATACTTGCCATGCTATACCTCACACTCATGGGATTCACAAGCTTTGCCAAATATGTAAGCAGACAGAGAACAATGCAAACTCTGCTCCAAGCTCCCAGCAGTGCCTCCAACGTATTTCTAAAGCTGCATCCTGCACTGCCTGGCAGGTCACGTGTGGCACTCAGGAGCGTGGCCAGAGAGTCCTTCCAGGTGATCGCAATCCTTGCTTAAAGCATGCACAAAAGGAAGAGTGATCTTTAACTTGGCAAGCATGGCCTTTCCTGTGTCACTCATGAACACACCCTTGCCACTCAGACTGCTTAGGAGAGAAGGGTAATTGCAGGGGGAAGAAAGCCACTTACCGTACTTGTCCAGGAAGAGAAACACAAAGGTATCGGCGATGGTTATGATGACTCCGCCCCACAAAGGAATTCTGGGGGAAGACAGAACAGATGTGCATGCATTCAAATTGTTCTAAGTACATCAGCTTAAAGACTGGTCCAGCATCCCTGACACTGAGGGCCTGAACCCTGAACAGGCACTAAAGGATGACAGTGCAGGTTTGCCTCAAGGTTGTGGATCAACAACTTGTTGATTCAAAGGCAAGAATCACAACCCAGTGGCCTGATTCTACAAGAAGAGCCCAGAGAGGAGCTGGCCAAGCAAACAAACTGGGCTGACTGCTAAAAGCTGGTTGAGCTAAACGTTATACGCACAAGAAATCCCCAGCGAAAGGCACACTGGAAAATGACAAGTTGGTGGCTATGCCTGGCTGAAGCCTGAATCCTCAGGCTGACCTCTGAGAGATGAGAAGAACAGCCAGGCTGACAACACCATGCCATGTGTTATCCTACACCAAGCCTCATGCCTTCTCTGCACTATAACCATTACTTTTATGGACAAGGAAGTCTTACCTAATTGTCCTTAACACTGAAATGGGAAATTTAGTGTTAAGAATCTTCTGGAAAAGAACTGAAACAGGGACATAAAACTGCCTTAACCAGAGACAGACTTTTGGCCCAACCTGCTCAGACCTGTTTATATCTAATGTTGCTGGACTACAATTCCCAGTATCCCTCACCATGTTCACTGGGGCCAATGGGAGCTGGAGTCCAGCAGCATCCAGAGGACCACAGATCCGTTTCCCTTGTTCCACAGACCCAAAAATGGGCCCACCTAAGTCAGGCATCTTGACACTAACTCAATCTGCATAATCATGGTGACTAAAACAAGATCCTCTGACTTGCTGCAACCATAACAGCCAGCTTCCCCTAATTACCCACACCAGTGGGTAAGTGACCCTCAAATAATCCATAGGCTGCCCAGACAAGACATGTCTCCTAAGATGGGACAATACAGCAAACCACACTGGCACAGGTAGTTAGGGAAATCCAGGCAGCATGCACACCCAATGCATGATCGTGTGAATCAGGGCCACTGACCGGCAATTTCTCTCCAGGGTTTCAGACACTAGTCTTTCCCAGTCTTACCTGAAAGTCCCGGGGAGTGAACCCAAGACTTTCTGCAGGTACTCTAACCAATGAGTTGTGATCCAAATATCACTCCAATGATTAGTGGCATGGCCACACTGAGATGTAGTATACAATTCTGACTACCTGTCTCCAAAATCAAGATGACAGAGAACAGGAAAAGATTCAAATGGGGCTACTCCATAATGGACTGGAGTAATCCTACAAAAAAAGGCCAAAGGATTCAGGGCTTTTCAGTTTGGTAGAAGCCATTTCTCCCATGAACACATTCCATTTTCCAATACAAACTAAGCACAGACATTAAGAAAAGGTTCAACAGAAACTTGTGATAAGTTATAACACTCTTCCATAACAGACACCAGGGTGTAACCATTCCTTATGTAACCTGTTTATTTGGGCATGGCTGGGCATTCCGGTTGACAAGGGCTCGCCAGTGACGAAATTCACTTGCTTGGGGAGCTTCCCAGACTACATCATTGCTCTGTTTTTCTTAGCGTGTGGTAGGGCTGATGCTTCAGCCCCAACATACACAGAGGATACAATAGCCAACTTACATCCCAACAGACAACAGGTGGATAGCAATTGCTGAGCCAATGACCTCTTGCATATCTGAACCAATGATAGCCAGCTCCACCATCAGCCACAGGATAATCCGAGGGACCTAAGCAAAAACAGGGGAACAAACAAGGTTAACACTTTTAAAAAATGAAACATTCTCCCTGTAGCACCTCTTGTCCTGAAAAGGGGTGGGCAACTCTAGCATTTAGATCTGCAGCCATAGTGAACTATTCCTTCTACAGCAGCCGACTGAACAGGGAGGAAGAGTGGGATAAGAACAGAGGGTGAGCGAGAAAGAATCTGAGAAAAGAAGGGTAGCAGAGAAACACAGGGAGAGATTCTGCTCCTGCACACCACTGGCATGTGGTCAGATACTCCCAACAATGGCTTGTGGCCAGAGGAGAAAAAAACTTCCTCCCCCCATTTTAGAAGCTTATAAGTGAATGGAGGAGAGGCAGAACAAAAGTGTCAGTCTGTTCATCTGCTATGAGCTGAAAATCTGAGTAAGAAACCCACGAAACAGTTCAAGCATGTATCTGTCCACACACTCGCTTGGTGTTCAGAACACTGCGGTCTTAAAGCAACTGACATTACCTCAAGACATGTAAGTACAATGAAGAATATTGGTTAATGTTAGTGCTTTCTCCAGTGCAAGACAGGTGGCTAGTGCAGAAACAACAGTACAGTGGTACCTTGGCTCAAGAACTTAATCCGTTCCACGACTCTGGTCGTGACCCGAATTTGTCACGATCCAAGTCAAATTTCCCCATAAGGTTCAATGTAAATAAAGGTTTACCTCTCAATGTAAAGGTTTTGTAAATATTTTTTTAATCACAAAAAACTGAAACAAAGTAATAAAATAATAAAATAATAATAATAAACAAAGTAAGAAAGTGCAATACAGTAGAGAACACTAACCTAGGTGGGCGGGGGGAGGTTATTGTTTGGAGGGAGAGTCCAAACCATAATCCTGCAATAACGATTGTGCGGGGGGGGGGGGATGGCCACGATTGTGGGCACACTCGTGTGGGGAAGACGGGCACGATTGCGGGCGCGCTGATGTGGCAACAGGGCTGCAATCGTGGTCATCATCCAATGCGGAGTTCACGAACTTAGGCAAAATTTTTCTGAAATTTCTATTCACGACCTGATTTGGTTGTGAGCTGAGGCATTCATGAGCTGAGGTACCACTGCATTTCTGTCACATCAAATGCTATACCTTTGTGCCTCTGATCTCTTATTCTGTTTTGTTCTGCTAATATACTGCTCTAGTTCCATCCATTTCCTATTTCCCAGGGAAGCAGGCATACAGTGTAGCCCCTCTGCTGAAGCTAAGCAGGTCTCACTCTGGGCAAGGGTGGGCTGGGAGACCTCCTTAGGAGCCAACATACACTGCCTTGCATTCTAAGATGGAAATGAAAATATACTAAAATGAACATTGTCCTTTCCTGAATCTTTATCCTGGGCTTCCTCAACCTGGTGCCTTCCAGATACTTTAGACTGTAACTCAAAGCTGATGTATCCAGTAAACTTGGGAACAGGAGAGCATGATAGGTTTGCACATAGCTACTTGATGGGCTTGAGAAGAAACCCTCTTTGTGCATCAGTCTCTGCTCTTCAGCAACCCCCACGCCAGTAGGAAATGACACACTTCTAATTCCAAAGCACACATAGGCAGCAGTATGTATTTATGCTCAGGCAGCAGGCAGTTTGGAAAGCACAACAGACACTACCAAAAGTTTAATAATGTTACCCATACCCTCAGCACTAATATTAGAAACCAATTCCAATGGATAAGGCCTAACACTAAGCACAAGTCACTAGCTACAGAGGCTGACTAAATTCCTCCACTCCCACCCCCTCAGGGGTCACATGCACACCACATACCTCAGTTACCAGAGATGTTGTGCAATCAAAAGAGAGCTGCTGTAATCTAATTTTAGAAAGCAAACAATCCCGCTTTGCTCACCCACAACAACCTACATGGATTGCACTGCCGGGAATCTGGCAAGTCACAAGGCAACAGACACCAACAGGATTTGTTAAGCTGGGTGTTTGGCAAAAGGGGTGCAGAGCGCTGGAAAAGGGAATCTTTTCCCCAGCATTTTTGGTCTGCTGGATGGGCCTTTGTTGCAGGACCTGCTTGCACCACAACAAAGAGCAAAACTCGGGAAACCCCAGGTCACCACAGGAGGAGCCCATGCTCTCAGTCCTTCCTCATGCCAAGGGAGCCAGCCCTCCCAGAAACGGGCTCCTCTCGTGCGGCCCAGTGGTTTCTGTGCGACCTTCAGGGTGCAGGAAGGAGCTGTGTTGGAGTAGTTGCCACATGACCTCAGTCCTGTAAAACCTAGAGCACACCTCCTCCTTGGATCACTTCAGGGAAAAGGACTACTCAGACCAGTTTGGCCTGACTTGGGAGTAAGGCAGAACTCAAACTCAAATTTATGGATACTATTTTAACACAGCCAAAACAGAGGTGGGCACTATTTTGACACAGCCAAAGCAGGAGGTGCACCAGAATCTGAGTACTTTCAGAATTCCTCTATTCCCAAGTCAGTTATCAACCGGGAGAGCAGGGAAAAAGGGGATTCATTAATACCACAGAGAGAAAAAATCTGTGTGTATTGCAGCTGAGTTCCACAGCTCTAGGCAACTGTGTCTTGCCAAAACAAGCCCAAAAAGAATACTTGTGCAGCTGTTTAAATCCAGGCTTTAGCAGACTAGTTTCTCCAAAGATCAGTAATTAAAATGATTATGCAGACATATCAAGCAAATGCTGCATGGGTATTATTGGAGGAGAAGTCTGCACAAACGTCTGCTCCATAAAACCAGATGCCTGTGTTTACCCAGTAGTAAGAGAAGTGCTACAGGCTCTGGCTTGGATATGGGGCTCTGAGGTCTGCCTGGCCCCTTAGCAAGGCTGTCTGGCCTGCTTCAGTTGACTTCTGTTCATCCCTGAGCCCAACCTGCTCTGATGTGGGCCCTCCAGATATTTTGGAATACAGCGCCCATCATTTTCAAACACTAGCCATCCTGGCTGGGGCTGAGGGGAGTTGCAATCCAGAACATCTGAAGGGCACGGTGCTGGGTTGGCTAGCCGAGTCACTCAGGACAAGTTTGTCCTCTACCTGCCAGGAATGTCAACCATGCCAGGAGATGGGAACCCATGACAGCGCTGCCCCTCTACTGACAAGGGCATCACAAGCAAGACAGTGGCATAATGAGCACACCCACCTTGGGATACTGTCGATGGCAGACTTCTGCCAGATGAAGTCCGGTTACCACCCCCAGCCTTGCGGCCAGACGTTGCAAGAGCAGGCCAATGATAGTGGCCAGCAAGAGGACCCAGAGCAGCTGAAAGACAGAGAAGAACAGCCACAGTTAAAGCAGTGGAGGCCCGCAGGATCTCTGGAAGCCAGCCAGCAGATTTAGAGGTTCTCCAAATGCAGGGGCGCCCACTTTTCTACAGGAATTAAACCCAGCCCCGGGCTTCATCCTCCATCACAGCAAGAAATTGGGTATGGCAATCTTAACTTTTCAATGTGTGCCAGGTTTGCTTCTTTCTAGCAATTCACTGCTGAAGCAGAATGCTCTGGATATTCCCAATATCATATAAATATGAACCTGCTTAGCTGGCCCATCTTCAACCAAGACTTCTGGGAACTGTAGTCTTGAGACTTCACCTGCACAGATAGCTAAACACACACACACAAAAACTACAGTCCCCAGATTTCCTGGAACATGACTGCAGAGTTGGTTGAGGCTTGCAGCACAAAGGTGTCTTCTGATAAAATGCAAAAAAATAGAATCTAACTTAGTGACTTTCTTATAACAAGGAAAACCACATGCACTACCTCCACTGATGTAACTAATCAAGTGCAAGCTTTGGGGCAGGCTAAGGAGCAAGCAGAAGAGTAAATGGGCTGGAAGGGGGCCATGGCTCAGTGATAGAGTATGTGCTTTGCATGCACATGATCCCAGGTTCGATCCTTGTTGTCCCCAGGTGAGAGCCACTGCTGCCAGCCAGAGCCAATAATACTGGACTAGATGGACCAGTGGTTCAGCTCAGTGGACCAGTTCAAGATGAGGGTGGTTAATGAACCACAGTGGCTCATTAAGCACCCTGCATGTGCAGTTGCACACCATCTGGAGTGACAGAATTACCCCCCCACCCCCACTGATGCAGCTTGCAGACAGATGACTGGATTGGTTAACAAACAACCCTGAACCCAAGAATAGGCCATGGGTTTGGGGTGGTTTATTAACTCCCTCCCTCACCAGGGTCCGAAGTCACAGCAAGCTGTGCCAGTAATTATGTGATTCTGGCTGGTATGTAATGGCTCATTAACCACTCTTGTGTCATGCAAACACGCAAGAGTGTGTTCCTGTGTGTATGTGTGTGTGAACTTTTTAAATGTCTAAGCAGTGCTCTACCACTTTTATATTTAAAAATGAATATTTTAAGGGTTAAAATTGCTCCAGAATAGCTGCCCTACTGAAACTGCCTTACTACCTAACCTTGTGAACCTTGGGTTGAAACTTCCAAGTTTTCATTCTGATTAAGAAATGAACAGTGGAAGACCGGCAATAACTGAACTTCCAGCTTTAAAGGGAGGACAAAGACTGTTTCCCCTAATGCTTGGCCAATGCACGGTAACAGAGCAATACCCATGTCTGAGTGAGCTGAGAAGAGAAAACATCCTGTCTGGTTAGCCTAGTCCCATGGCAATTAATCACCAACATTTCAGTGACTCAGATGTGATACATGACATCAGGGAAATGTCAGAAAGACTCTTCTTACGAGAAAGCATGAGCGATAAGATACACATCTACCAGATAGTAGCTGCCTGGCATTAATCCCACTTCATTCTATGCACTAAACTTAAGGCATTCTTCCCCAACCTGAAACCATCCAGGCCTGTTGGTCTACAACCCCATCATTCACAGCCAGCATACTTATTGGTGCACTAGGGATTACAGGAGTTGAATTCCAACATATCAGGTATGGGAAGACAGGCGGGGAAAGGATGAATTAAATTATTGTTCAAGACTAGAGCTCTATAGAGGATTTTAGATGTTCAGGATCAAAGTTTTCACAGAGGATTCGCCCCGCCACTTACCTTAAATTGTGCAATAGCTCCAGACTGTAGGTCTGATTCAATGTTGCCTGGATCCAGGTAGGCAATGCTCATGAGGAAACCAGGCCCTGTGAATGCCCAGAGTTTTCGAAAACTGAACCATTGGTGCTTTAACAATGAGGATGAAGAGATAAAAGAAGTTGTTACATTTCTTTTTTAAAGGTATTAAATATTTTCATAACAAGGGAGAAGTGTTTCACAAGCAGTACTACACACATGGGAAAGTAATTCAGGTAGAAAGGCACTATATTTTTGCTTTATTTCTCATATGTTAATCCCAGGAGAACCATCCATGCTGGGAGGAGGATGGGGACAAACCAACCCGACAACACTGTATTGCACAAATTATACAAACCACATTGCTTAGGGATGTCAGACTGGTTTATTTCAATGGGGGCCCAAATTAGGGTTTTCAGACCATTTTGAGAAACCTCCAGGTTCCATGGAAACTCACCGAGAGTCGCTTGGTGGGAAAACCAATGGCTACTAGTGATGATGGCTACCGCGCTTGGGGACATGTCCTGCTTGTGGGTGTCCACAGATGGTTGGCCAGTGCGTGAACACAATGCTGGACTAGACAGACCCTTGCACTGATCCAGTTCTTGCAATCAGGTCTCCTGGAAAGACAGCTTGCCCATCATCAACTCCAGATCACAAGGGAATGCTGGCACCAAGCAAGGGAGTCCTTCCAGTTAATAGGAGACCAGAAGGCACCCAAGAACAGGAGTGGGCAGAGGTCAGACCTCCAGATATTTTGGACTTCACCTTCTAGCATTCCTGACCATTGACCTTGCTGGCAGGGGCTGATGGGAGTTGAAGTTCAAAACATCTGGCAATCTACCTTCTGCCCAGGGTCCACTGAAGTACACAAAGTTTGGTGAGATGTCACAGAAGATCCATTGGTGACATGCTGACGGGAAGGGGCAGCCAGAAGGTAGAAATGAGGACTGGATCTTTAAATGAAGGCTAGCCCTTTTCTTAGAAATGGAACACTGCCTCACTGTTTCAAGTGAGAAATTATTTTGATCTGTCCCAAAATGATAGGCTTGAGTTCCATCCAGGTGTTCAATCACATCCAATGACTGTGTGGCATACTCATGTTCCCCACCAACACAAATCTACCCTAGGGAGGAAGAAGGGAAGGGGAAGGGAATGCTGACATCAACCATCAGCAGCTTCTTTAACGTCAGTAATCTGTCATTTTAAAGATTAAAACAAGCACTAGGGCCCTCCTCCACAGAAAGGAAGGGTTCCTTGGAGAAGGGCTCTCCTTATCACAGACTGTAGTGTTGAATTCCAAAGTACAAGGCTTTTTGATCCTTGGCTGAAGGGGAGGTCCACAAGCAGCTAAGTCTGCCTGTGCTGCTGTCCTTTAAACAAGCAGCAGCTCCTCTAGCCAGAAGTTAAAAGGCAGTGGTGGTGGAAGCCATCTGCACAGAGGACCACCGTTTCCCTTTGCTCCAGCATTATACTGGTGAGCTAAGCAAGGGAAAACAAACCTCCCTTGTTACTTCCACTTCCCCTGGCCAGCAACACAAAGAAACTGAGAATCACTACACACAGGGATGGCCTTCCAATCGTACTTCAGGTCAAACATAAACCGCACATGAGCAGACAGGGAAGCAGAACTACAAACTTAAAAGACAAGCCACCACCCAGATCCTTGACTGGAAGGAAACAGAAGGAAAGCCATTTCAGTTGAGCCTAGTGCTTCTGAAATTCAGGCAACCAAAGCATGCTTCCTTGAAATGGGAGTGGGCGACAATTTGTGGCTGGCCAGAAGTTTTGGCCTACAACTCCCATCACCTTCACTCATCACTTATGGCTGATGAAAGCTGCAGGCCAAAACCTTTGGAGGACCACACATTATTCACTCCTGCTTTAAAGTTAAATGTTGGAGATTTCTTTCACTGCTATAGCTGGAGTAGTTTGCTTTTTAGAGCAGTTTCTCTGAGACTTTGCAGTCCCTCCAGAGGGTTTGGACTACAATTCACAGCAGCCCAAGTCACCAATGGTCAGGGATATCAGGTGTTATAGTCAAAAGCATCTGGAAGGACCTGGGTTGGGGAAGGCTTTTTAAAAACATGCTTCCTGAGAGCAAAAATTATCTTTCCTCAGAACTAGCCCTCCATGCATTTCTGAATGACTAGTACAGAGCCAAGAGCAATTTCACAGGGAATGGATTAACCATTTTGTATCTCTGCACCAGGAGCCGATGAATGATCTGGGCATACCTTGCCCATAAAACTACACCTTGCCTGTCAGGAGCTGACTGGATGGATGCACATTCAAAGCAGCCAATCATGTAGGTACCTCCTTCAGTACTGGCTACCTTCCACCTCTATGCTAGCAGTATTCCCTGGTGCAGTATTCTAGAACTGCTGCCCAGAAGTCACTCCCCCCAAAACCAAAGGTGGCACTGCAGCCAAGCATACTGACCTTTTCATCTTCAGGTATAGGCACTTTCTGATCAAAGTAGGTGGTAAATTCATCTGTGGAGTCGGAACGGTGTGGTGGATCTGAATTGCTGCAAATGGTGCTAACGCCATCCCCAGAGGAATCTTCTGCAAATCAACATGGAAACTTCGTTATAAACAGTGGAGGATGCAGATGAAGAAGCAAAGCCCAAGGCAAGCACCTCCTGGCGTTCCGCTCACCCAAAAAGCATCTCATGCCAATTGAAAATGTCAACATTTGTGCTATGGCACTCGCTACAAGTCTAGCAGAGCAGACAGAATACAGTGCAGAATATGGTGCCTCTACAAGTTGGGATCCAATCCTAGCCAACTCCTGACCTTACTGTGCCCCTCAGTACAGGGTCCCATCTTTAAGGGCACTTTCTGGTGCCATAATTTACAGAATTACTGGGGGAACAGAGGAGGTAAATATGGTAGAGTACTTTGCACATTAAAAACAAGAGGTATAAGATGTGGCATAATCAAAGTGCCTCCATTATCTTAGGGCAGAATGTTGTGAGATTGCTGCATGTAAGAAGAAAGCACCAAGCTAAGCAGCTTCCAAAAATCCTACACCCTACTGGACACATGTGATTTCACCTCCCGCTCATCATGTGGAACCCACCACTACCACCAAAACAAAAGCCAAGGTAGACGGGCCTCTGAAACTGTCTAAATCACTCACTGCTGGGCACAGATCATGGCGGATCCCATCCTCTCCTTTCCTTGCCCACCAGAACTCCAACTTTTTGACATGTTCAAGGTCGCTGTTGCCACCCCAGAATGCTATCATCACCATTCTTCCTGTGGCATCTGCAAGGGATGCAATCCCATATTTAGTTCCTCTATCTCCCTGAGTTTGCACGAGTGCCTGTATAGCCTCAGAAGGGGGAATTCAAAATCACCACTCTCCCAGGGACCACAGCATTGTTTTGTAAGGTGCTTCAAACAACAGTAGCAGCAGCAGCAACCCCAAACTGCCATCTAGTATCCCCTTATCTGGGATTAAGCCACACTGAACACGGTGGGGTTTACTTCTGAACAGATGCATATAGGATTACACCGATTGTCAGGAGTTTCAGGGAAGAAAGTTACCTAATCAGCATCTAGATTATTCCTCAACATTGTAATCGGATTAAAAATGCTTAAAACCTTCCATGCTTTGCATATATTTGAGTGTACTCATGTCTTGCAGTATTTTCTTACAACGGTATTTACTCTCCATTTCCTTGAAAAGGGTATCAAGGTTATTAGGGCTCTTGGGCAACTGCTAGAAAACTGAAATTTGGTGTACACACACACCTCAATTAACACTGGAGTTTTAAAGATGTTGCTCTCTTAACTGAGGACATGAAATATTTTGCATATTAGTGGTCGGTCAGTGCTGATGCATAAAGCGCAACAAGTTATATCTGAGAATATAAAGGAAAGCAAAGGAGCATCTTTCACACTGTTCCACACCTGCCTGCAGTGGTGATTGGGAAGGTGGTGGGGTGGGTGGAGAAGAGAAACCAGAGTCAGCTAGGAATCCATACATAGTCCAGGCCAATTAAAAAACGCCATTGAAGAAAGCTGCCCTCATCCCCACCATACAAAAATCGCATGGCTCTTCCAGCGCTGGTCATTAGGAAGCGCAGGCTCCAACATCAGGGGTCCTTGCAGTCTAGGCCTGTGCAGATTTCAGATCTAACAGAGACCATGCAGAGCTGTACCTTCTATGCATTGCTGGTGCTATGGAGGGACCCACAGGTTTGTACCGTGTCCAGGAGAGGTTCCTTCTCTGGGACACTTTCTGTACTTCAATTGCAGGCTAAAATTCTGGTGAAGCCTCAAGCACTGGAGACTGTGCTCTGGGTACAGCTTCACTCAGCGTGTTCTACTATCCAACTGTGGTGCTCTCACAGTTCAGGTTGACCCTGGCTGGCCCTTCCTTCCTTAGCCATGTCTTTTAGGAATGGGAACATGTGCCCTCTTTTCCAAAGCAGCTGATTATGAGAAATTATTTCTACTTAACTACTATTTAACTCAATCTTGCTCGACTCTTCCACTGTCTCCCCAAGTTCCTCCTTCCTTTTCTTTGTTTAGTCTAAGCCATGGGTCCTCAAACTAAGGCCCGAGGGCCACATCTGGCCCACCATGCCCATTTATCCAGCCCACCACAGAGGGTGAGCAAACTGCTGTCTCGCCCCCGCCGCCTTGCCACGTCCACAGCCTCACCGCACACGCGCCCAGTGCTGCTGCCCCGCTGCCCTGCCACATGCGTGCCCATGATCATGCCCGTCTCCCCCCCAAGCGTGCCCGCGATCACGCCCGTCTCACTCCTAGCATGCACACAATTGCACCCATTTCCAACCCCAGCATGCCCGCGATCGGGCCCATCTCCCACCCAGCGCACCCGCGATAGCGCCCATCTCCCCACCCCAGCATGCCCGCGATCGGGCCCGTCTCCCACCCAGCGCACCCGCGATAGCGCCCATCTCCCCACCCCAGCATGCCCGTGCCCACCGCTGCCACCTTTCAACTGGCCTCCTGTTGAAAAAGTTTGAGGATCCCTGGTCTAAGCCTTCGGGAAGGATTAAAAAAAATCATTAATACTGTTTTATAAATACATCAGATTATTACCGGTGCTTAAATGTTTCATTAATTTCTGCATATCAAAGCACTATTAATATCAGCTCTCACTTTTTGCAATAAACATAAAACTATCTCCTTTATTTGCGGTTCTTTTATCAAATTTGCTTTGAAATACTGACTGGCTCTACACCATATACACAATTGCCATAAAGTATTCAGACAAGACTTCATGGGATGGCTGTGCCTTTATACCTTTCTCATGGGCTTCCCAAAGGAATCTGGCTGGTCACAGCTGGGAAAAATGCCTGGCTGGACCGATCTTTGGTCCAACCCAGCAGGGCTGCCCTTGGGTGCAAATGTTCACCCTGCTAATGAATCTTGCAGCTTCATTCCTGCCCAAACCAAGCAGAGTCTAGGATAAACGTGGCAAACACAATGAAGTCAGGTGCAAGGTGTAACTTGCACTTGGTTTTATCCATGGAGAGTGCAAGAGAAAGCTGGATCAAGTGACTCCCCCATCACCTTGGAAAGTAGCACTACACAGGCTTAGTTCCATAGGACAAGCTTAGAATAATTTCTCCCCAAAAAGGGAGAAGATGCAAGAAAATGAAGAGTTGTATTTCCATACCCTGAAACTTCCTTCTACTACCTCCCCTCCTGCAGAGAAGATTCCAGTACTTGATTGTACTCACTCTTGTACTCAAGCTTGTATTCTCCACGTGGCATTGTGCTTCTGCTTCCAGACACCAAGAAAGCAGAGCTCCACTAACACTTGCTGCCTTGGATGTGCAATTTATAGTCAGAACCCAGAGCAGTAAAGAAGCACATACGCACACAGTAACAATGAACTCGGCTTTCTCCACCTACATCTCCAGTTTGCCCGCCTCCCAAATAAGAGATGCCACTTAGCTGAGAGCTATTTACATGACAGATTTAAAGCAACAGCCACTTGTGTAATGAAAACCACCACTACAGGAAGAATTCCACCCCCAGAAGAGCCAAACTCACCTTGCCCAGCTAGTTAAACAAAGACAGGAACATCTAAAGAACAGTATGTAGCACACAGGAACAACCTGCTGCCAGCAACTTCTCTGAAGTTACGTTCTAAAAGATTGGCTACTTGACAAAAACGGATAAGCAACTGTAAGACTCTGGGAGACGGCAAGAAACCAAAATGGCGTCTCTTTGGTGTGCAGGTCAGTAAAGGAAGGATTTTGTTCTGTTAGAAGCACAGGGAAGCAGGCAAACCATTTCCGTGTACAACCAGCCACAAAGATTGCTTGATAGAAGCCAACATTAAGATGAAGCAAGAGACTGGCAGAATTCTGGAGTGGGAGGAGTTTTGACTAGATGAAAGGGATTCTTCTGGCTCTCACCTACCTCTGTGATAGTCTAATAACAAAGCAGACTTTCAGCAGTGATCTCCGGTCCACTGCTCTCACAGCAGCATCCAAAACAATGCTTTTGGTTGGCTTATTTCTGTCCACAAGTGCATGCCCTATAAAATCATTTGAAACAGCTTAGGTCTCATTCATTTTGCATTGCCCATCATTTCTATTTCTGCTCATCAGCACCTCCTTGACAATATCCTGCACATAACTATACTATACCCACATACTTGCCTCCTGAAATAATGGGAAGGCAAACAGTCCACGGTTCCTTACTCAGACAAGAGAAAGAAGATGAAGGTGAAAAAAACGCATTGGATCACAAAAGGAGAGGTGGCAATGCTGCAGTTTCAGAACACAGTACTGACTGTCACAACTGCTGAGGACTGCTATCTTGTCCTTGGTACAAGCACTTGGCACTGTGGACAGCTGTGCAGAGCTGCAGGATTACCCAGAACAATGCAATCACTGGGAAAGAGTGTCCATTTATTGTCTGAGAAAAGGTGAGTATGCTAAACTACTGGATTATTTATTAAGACAGTTTCATTAATGTCTTTGGTTGGGTTTTCACTGTCTGTTTTATTTTATATTCGTTGAATACCGACTTGGTGGCTTTGGGGCAAAAAGGGTAGTATATGAACATTAATGATTATTTACAGTAAACAAAATAAAGTTGTACAATGCCCTCAATAATTAAGCACACACATGCTCATGCTTTGGCCATTACAAATTGCTGCTAAATTCAGAGTCTTCAGAAGCTTGCATGATTTAAGCATTTATCTGTAATAGAAACTCCAAAGACCAACAGACAAGAGGATAATCATTAAAATTGCCCAGAAAGTAAGAAAAATATCTTTTCTGCAATTATTTTATAATTAGCATTATAATATGTATAAAGGGAGAAGAGTTCACCATTTGATGTGAGTAAACCACTGCCAGAAAGGGATGATGATCTTTCACAGTACTCTTATGAATTATTCTAACCAGCAAATGAGGAGGAATTAATAAATGACCATTTCAGACTATAAACTTTAGAAGACTGTTAAATGTCATAAAGAACGTAAGAGTGTTTTGAGATAATAGCATGGCCCAGTCAATTGGAAAGATTGGGATTCTGCTTGGTCTGTTGAGAAAGGAAACACCTATAAACTTGGCAGCATTAAGATTTTAATCTCCATGTTTATTGTTTAACTCTAATGAAAACAACCTAGAAAATATTAACATTATCACATCAAAAATCCAAAATGGACATTTAAATTCTACTTCTAGCCAGTTAGAAACTACCACCATATACATCTAAAAATCTTTGATGAACTTGAATAATACGTGATATCTTTCTGTACTCAATTATATCTTTACCATTTGCTATAGTAACAAAGTGACACATCCCCTGTGGCTTCTGTGCAGCATTTGCAAATTTGGCAACCCTATCTATCATCGTATTTGACTGGGTTAGCCAACAAACGCTTCAGCTGAGTTACATCATCAGTAACAGACGCCCTACTTTGCAGGATCTCTACAATCCGTCATGTCAATTATGTTCAACTGTTCTGTCTTTGCAGATGTTGTTCTCTTTGGATTTTGCAGAATCAGCTCTCTAGCTAGATGGTGTGTGTCCTGTCTGCAGAGTGATGCTTTTCTGCATATTCCTCTGCACCGCAGCCCATGGCACCCTGCAGAAAGCAGATCCAAGGTTTGGGAGAGCCGCAAACATAGAGTGCCCTGAGAAAGGATGGGCTGCCAGTAGGAGGAGGAAGTTGGGAGAATTTCCCACCTCCTTTGTGTAAGTTGAAGTGTCTTTCTACCTGCAAAAGGAAGCTCTGGATGGATCCCATTATGAGGACACTGTGAATTCTGAGGTCTGCATGCAAAAGATCCAAGGTTGACTCCTTGATGTCTCTCAGAAGTACTCAAAAACACCTCTGCCTGAAAGCCTAGAGAGCCACTGCAAATCACGATGCACAATACTGAGCTGGATGGTTCATAGCCTGACATAGTGACCTGGTTCACATGTAATGAGAAAAAACATGACGGGTGAATTTCTCTGTGGGGTTTTTCATTGCAGCAGGTGCAGCCACCCTGCAGGGTGTCCCATAGCTTGACAACCCATCCTTGCTGGATTTGTATGTAATGACAAGGTGGTGTGTCTGCACTGTGGCCTGAATATTCAGGATGATGACAACTGCCACGCTGAGCAGCCCTATGGAGAAATTCAACCACAGTGGTTTTGTATTACATGGGAATCAGTGCCCTCCAGAGAGTCTGGCCTCTCAGCTTTCCCAGCGATTGGTCATGTTGACTGGGGCTGCTGAGAGTTGGTCCAAAACACCTGGAGGACAACAGAACCAGTGTGGTACAGTGATTAAGAACATAGGACTGGGACTCAGGTGACCTGGGTTCCAGTTCCCACTTAGCCATGGAGCCAACTGGGTGACTTTGGGCCAGTCACAGACTCTCGGCCCAACCTGCCTCACAGGGTTGTTGTTGTGGAGATAAGCTTGAGAGCAGCAGAATTATGTAAGCTGTGTTGCGTTCATTGGAAAAGAATGGGATACAAATCTAATAAATAAATAAAAACAGGTTGGGGAAGGCTGCCTTAAAGGAACACCTAGAAGGAAGAGGTTGAAATGTCTTTAAAGAGGTCCACAATCCCTGCCCTAACTGCATCCTGTACCTTCTAAACACTGCTGCCATGACAGTCATCCAGAAATGGAGCCATCTCTTCCTCAGCCTTGTATCTCTAGCAGTGGCCCAGATTATCCCCTAATTATTCAGCTTGCTTGCTTTCTGTGTTTAGTCTGTCATCATGTAATCCAGGCAGTTTAGAGGACAGAATATAGAAAACATGGCAACATAAAACCAGTGGCTTCCCTCAAACAAGGAAAGAGCCTTCCTGAGGGCCAATCAAGCACCGAGTAATGGATACTTGGTCCCCGTCCACCATGGTTATAAGGCAGAATAAAGAGAATCAACCACAAGCTATTCAATCCCCCCTTCATATAAACATCTGTATTAAGATTCCTTAAACCCTACTGAGAAAAACCCCTATTGAGGAAAAAACGTGTTAGAGCCATTAGAGGATTTCGTCATGAAAAGTAAATGGCAATGTGGAAAGCCCTCACTGCTATCAGTAGCAAGGCGCATTTCTATGTGCAAAAGATGAAATGATATCAGATATCTTACCTTGTTTGAACTTCCTTAACATAACTAAAATTCCTATAAAGAATCAACTGCTGACAAAGCCTTGAGAACGCAGGGCAACTTATGGGTTACAGAGTGGTGCTTCTAGCTGTTTGGCCGTAAGGGCAATTCAAGACAAACTGAAAAATGTTCATTACAAGGGCTGGGAGGTGGTGATAATGTGAGCATACAGACTATAAACATTATCTTGTGGAACATTGTTGGGTGGTTTTAACAGGTTGGCAGATAAAGAATTTCTGGAGTATCTCTCAAGTTCCACAGTTTGCATACAAGAGACTTGGATCTAGTTCTGGGGGGCTCATGCAAAGAAGCAGGCCTTAAAGTAAATGAAAATCCTAACCCAGCCTCTGCTAACCTGATGTCCTCTGCAGTCTTAAATATACTGGTCCAGAGGTTGGGGAGTTTGTCACCTTGTCTTCCAGATTATTTTGTCTGTTCAAAGGACTGAAGACTGCAATCTTACACCCATTTTCCTGGAAACAACTGAACTCAATGGGTCTTAATTCTGAAATGTGTATGATTCAGCTGCAAATTTAAGTAGGTATCTGTCCTGTCAACAATATGGAGAAGGCTATCCAAAGAATTTCATATCCTGTTTCACAAACCAATGAATGACTTTAATGCCAGACTATCCAGACTTGCAATTGGTATTATGGTTTGCAAGGTCCCCCCACTTCTGTTCTGTAAGAATTACAAATAACTTCTTTAAAACAGTATTCATGATACAGAGGTAGCAAAGAAATTGCAGGTCCTCCTTGGAAGAATTTGTGGACCTTTTACAGAGATAATCCACACATAAGGAAGATGTTTGAAGAATCCCTGGTTCAATACAGTTTTACCCTTTTTGGTAGAGTCAAACAATATGCTGTTCTTGAGGTTAGTATTTCTAGATTTGTCCCAAAGAACTGAAAGTAGTCATTGGCTTCTCATAATAAGTTGTTACAGTCCTAACCAAACTTGTCTCTTAGAGAAAGCTGAAATGCCAGATTATGAATGAAATGGACGCTGTAGGATGATGTATGCCCTTATTTTTATTACAATGTGAGACACCTAAGGAAACCCATGTTGAGTGGAAAACTGATACATAGATGTTCATATAAAGCAGCCTTCCCAACCTAGTGCCCTCCAGTCTGCCTTTGCAGGCTGATTTTAGGAATAAAGAAAGCTTTATAGCACATCAGACACTTCTCCCTCTAGCCCAGTGTCATCAGCTATGAGTGGTCACAGGAAAGGTTTCCCCACCATCTGTTCTTCGATTCTGATGTCATGGACTAAACCAGGGATTGTCTATACATAAAGCACATGTTCAGCCACTGAGCTACGCTCCTGCCCTCTTGATGCATGTCAGAATAACTTGAAAAATAAATGTGGATATAGCCAATAAAAGCACTTAATGCCTTCTGCTCTAATCAAAACACTCCTCACAGACACAGAGGGCCAGTTTATCTAGTGCATCCACACTATGAGGGAAGACATACAAGGGTACTGGCTGCATTTTTTAAAAATTCAACTATTCCAGAAGTGGCCTTTCCTCCGAACTGTAGCCTCCTTTTTTCCCCTTGTTTTTAAACTAGTGAGGGTGTCCAGACTGGTTTGAGGTGCTGCAGCCTACAACAGCCAAGACTATTGAGTCACTCTGGGACAGAAAGAAAAGTCAAATATTCCTAAGATGTGCCAGAATTAACATATTTTTCTAGCACTGATAGATGAAGAGGAAAAAAAGACATACATTGAAAGACCAGCTGTTTATAGGAAAAGTTACCAAACTGCATAAAAACACACAAATGAAACAGCAAATTTACCGCATAATACATCTCGTTCCTTCCCTGGTGCCATGGTGGGAATGTCCCCTTTGGAATCCTTAGAAGGGCTCACGTTAACTGCAAAAGAAAGGAAATAAATTTAGGGCAAGACCACTTGAGGAGCTGTAATGAGACTTTGTTAATCATTGTGGATTTTTTTTTACTATTCTTTCCCTCTCTTTCACACTCCTTGGGAAACTGAGGCCAAAGTAAACATACATAGTGAAAAAACATAGAAAAAACTCCCAAGAAGCCTTTGAAACTCCTACAAGATCGATTTGTAGGTATCCTTTGAAATGAAATATCAAATTCACAAAGTCCAAGTTGAAGGGACTATTAAAGTCCTTTCTTGCAAGTCTACTTGCATCACGTGGGGGGACTCATCAGAGAAGCCTGCCTACCATTTATCCCACAATGTGATGCAAACAGAAAACAGTCAGCAAGGTATGTTGCAACAAGCTGCCCCAAAAAGCAGAAAACTCTTCAACAATTTTCTAGTTTGTGGCTTGACTTGCTTGCTTGACTCATTTGGAACTAAGGGTTTAACAATAAGCTCCAGGCAAAAGAGCTCAGTCTCTTCCATTTACATATAATTCATTCAGTCTGTATCAAATACTTCATCAATACTGTATCAGAAACAAAAGTTTCTTGAACCTGATTTATGGGCACCTGTAGTGAAACACAGATACATAAACCTTAAATGCTGTGCACTAAATTAGTGGAGAGGATGTTTAATATTTCCTTAGGAATAAGCAAGTTCAGTTCTACTAACACTGATCTCCATAGAAGATGTGTGTCTGTTTGCTTAAAGTATATATACAAAGAAAATACTGAAAAAGGGCTGGAGAAACATTGACATGTTCTTAGCACTGATGGATCTTCCCGCCCATCCAGCTTCACATGCTTTCCTTATTCCAAGCCCTGATGAAGCAGACAGCTATGAATGTAGTTGTCAGAATGTGTGGCAGGGGAGTCTGTTTTGGTGTAGAAAAACAGAAATGGGGTGGGGTGATTAAAAACATTTGTTTGTTTGTTTGTTTGTTTAAAAGCCCTCTGCTAGCAACAGGCTCTTTGGGTGGCCATTAAATATCCATTTTCTTATCAAACAAACCTTATTTTACTACTCAAACAGCATTAAATGTATTATTTAGAATATAAAACTGTGTTGTTTGGTATATTTTGGAAATTTGTGGAGTAATCCTATGCATGCCAACTCAGATGACCTATTTTGTTATTTCCAGGTACACATGCACAGACCAAAAAAGAGTAAATATAGATTGTACAAGCACCATTTTATTTCCTGTAATAGAAAGCTGCAAATTCCTGTGCTGTATGCAACCTAGGAGTAAGGCAATGTGGAAAATTTTCCAGTGTTTCATTTTCTGCAGAACTTTTGTCTAAATAAGTTCATTAGTGGATGGATGTCAGTTGCAAATACAATAATGAGCAAGTCTGGGAGTTTCACAGTTGTTATTAATGCAGTTCATGTGATTATTCCTAGAAAACATGTGAGAGTATACATGTATGTCACTGCAATGTGTGAATGCCTCAGAGGGAAATTGAACCAATGAGTACTGAAAGCACAGGTGCACCAGCAGTAATAACAGAGGGGAGCTGTCACCATGTTGCTAAAGTAAATTAGTATAGTTATCGCCAACCTGGTGTCCTCCAGATATGCTGGGCAATTCCTAGCATCCCCAGCCAGCCATGCTGACTGAAGGATTCTGGGATTTGTTGCCTAAACTATCCAAAGGGTACAAGGTTGGGGAAGGCTGAATTACTATGAGAACAACGTCTTTCTTTCATACATTTAAATAATCTAAGAAAAGTGCATGTTACTGTTTTAATAATGTTTTATATGTATCCTAATGAACATGACTGCATAACTTAACATTTAAATTATATTAATTAAGTTTTAGCTTTTCTCCTTCAAATATTTCAGAACAAATATTGTAATGTATTGGAGCATAAATTAACATGGGGTAATTATTTAGCCTTATTGTTTATTTAATTTGTATTAGGTAAACATGCTAATTGAAATAACTTTCTAATGATTTTCCAATGCAAACTGAACATGTTCTTATGTCAATTAGCTTAATTTGCATAAATTTTCCTGGAAATTGTTTTCAGTTCAATATCCACATCACTGTTACCAAAGCATGTTTTACAGTTTTTGCCATTTGAAAAGCAGTACATGAGAAAATTGAAAAGAGAAAACACACATCAACAAAGCACTATTTGAAAATAAATTATGAGATGCATAACAATATTAAGGGCTATCTAAATATTAGGAAAATTGTCTGATGTGCATGCAACAATAAGCCAGGATTCCATCGTGATAAGCCAGAGTCCTGGAGGAATTCTGGCTTATTCTATATAAGCAGTGTGCTCATGTGTACTGCTCCACTGAGGAGCATTCAGGCAGGATTTACCACAGTGATAAACATTAACCCAGGGCTCTGGCGGAAACATGTCTTATCATCACATGCAACCCATCCCAGGGGAAGACATTTTACAGCACTACAGACATTCTGAATCTTCATGCTGCTGATTTAACAAAAAAATCATTTGACACATTTTGCATATGAACCTGAAAAGTATTACACGTATTCCAAAAGAGAAAAGATTTTGCAAGAGTTCCCTCATACTGTGTTTGCCCAAATTTCCAATTTTTCCACTGGGAGAGTCCTTGGAAAAGAATGTTTCCCACACCAAGATTGTTCCAATTTTTTTTCCTGTGCCTCCATATCTCTGGCTTCCCAGACTGAACTGCAGCTTCAGCAATTTTAAGATGTTCCTAAAGTTGTTTTATCTTCATTAACCTTCCCACGAAACAGACAAACTTTTCTTCCTAATAAGCACTGAACTCTACATACCTCATGCCTCTTAAGGAGGCCCATCAATATGCTAGGAGACTGTTATTCTTAGTACAGGAGGAAAAAGATGGATGCTTTTAAACAAGGAGAGCTTCAGATCATTCCCTTTACAGACCAACTTTCTCATTTAAGATATATGCACCAGTTCTGTTAATGTGGCACTACAATTTTAACTTATTTTGAAAAGCTGCTTTGCAATATTATAAGCACATTCACATGGAAAGTATGCTACCGTATGTTAGAAACATGTTCTGCGCCACTCTCACTTCCCACAGATTTCAAGTTCTACTCTAAGTAAAACCAAACTCAGTGGAGAGGCTGGATGTGGAAACAGTTCAAATATATGCTATCCAGACTTTCAAGAGAAATGTGGGGAGGGGAGGTAGGAACTGCGTGACCAAGGGCAACAGGTATGGAGGAAAGGTGAGGAAATTACAGTGAAAGCAATCATGCAGGAAGGCATGCAACCTGGAGGCCAGCACAACAGAGCTTTAGAAAAGGCAAAAGAGTAACCAGCCAAAGAAAAACTCATTCTGCATACTTGTACACTGTCCCACTTTTGAATAATATTAATCAGGAGCATTAAATGCAGAAAATGGCTGTGGGTGGCAGAAGCCAGAACTGAGTCAATTTTGGCAATGCTTCCCTTCTATGGAGAGTTACTTGTGAAAACATGTTTATATAGGAAGGCAACTTTCACAAGGTTCAGCAACAATGCACAAAAGCTGGTAGAAATGTAGTCAGCCTATGAATCTTTCCTTAAAATCAAAGTTTTACACTCCAGTTTAAAATTTTGTCTTTTCAAAGGGTTCGCCTTCACAAGAGAGTTTCCACCAGAAAGGAAGGGTCCCATCCTGAACTGATCATAAAGAATAGCTAACATAGTCTAGTAGTTCTCACTTTTCCCTGAACAAACTTGCAAAAAAGGCCCCCAAAGCTCAAAAGCAGCAAAGATGAGAGAATGGGGCAGATTCCCTAAGAAGCAGGCCAGATGTCCTGTAGCTCTGACTACACAAACATTTTGTCCAGACGTTAGATCTGGCACACTCCAACAAAGCCAGACCAAGATTTGCCCTCATTCAATTAGAAGTTATTCATTTACTGCTTGATTAAACACTGCATCACTTGAAGAATTTGCCTTAAGGGCAACAGCTGTACTTTTAGACTTGCAGCAGACAGAGATCCTTCACTATAAGGCTGCAATGATATGAAACTACATAAGGGAAGCACTGGGTGTTTAATCTCCAGCTGGCACAACTCATACCTGAATCTAAGATTGTAAGAGAAACCCTGATGGATGACAGTCAAGACCCATGAGTCCATCTTGTCTGAAACTTGCTTCACAGAGGGGCCAGCCAGGAGCTTCTGAAAAGCATGGGCATAATGCCTGAAAAAAGGAGAGCCCTCCCC